GACGTTTTATGCCATACTATACTATGACGTTTTTATGAGCTTTTATGCCTCAATATACCATGATGTTTTTTTGACGTTTTATGCCATACTATACTATGACGTTTTTATGAGCTTTTATGCCTCAATATACCATGATGTTTTTTTGACGTTTTATGCCATACTATACTATGACGTTTTTATGAGCTTTTATGCCTCAATATACCATGATGTTTTTTTGACGTTTTATGCCATACTATACTATGACGTTTTTATGAGCTTTTATGCCTCAATATACCATGATGTTTTTTTGACGTTTTATGCCATACTATACTATGACGTTTTGGATATTTTTATGCAATATATATATATGAATATATAAGTTTATGACATATATGAAATACATATTATACTACAAATAAAAAATACACAGTATAATACATACATAATATTTCTTAATAATTTCTTACCACATTTAAACATATATGTTTAGCTTTAGGATGTATATATATTCATGTAACATATGTGTATAATACATATTAAACATACAGGTTTCTATTAACGACACATTCGTGTCAATATAGCCTATGATACTCTTCCAATTTCTCAATTTCCAACAGGTTTCAGGGGGCTATACTGTACATACATATATGATTTAATTCATATGTACATATATTTAATATTTGGAAATATCATTTGCGTATGGGCATTTCTGAATGTAAATTCAGATCATTTATGTTAATAAACTGTTTGGTTGAAGTCATTAAAAAAATAGTCTCTTGACAGGATGTGTCTAGACTGTGCACCGTGCAGCTGATTTATACGGTGTTGGTCAGGAGGGTTGCACTTGAAAAGGAGGTTTGTGAGATATACCTTGGTAACAATTACGTGTTAAAAACACCATCTGAGTAAAAATGGTACAAACAGTTCGACCTTATATTAGCTTGTCATGCAGTAAGCATGGGGAACCATCTAACAGCACTTAGATCCAAGCATCAGCCATGAAGAATTATCATGCACTTGTTTCTACTCATCGATTTGACTCCAAAAGACTTCAGCTTGGTTACTTCACCGTTTAAGTCTTTGTTCTGAAACCTTTCGTCAAACTCACACTTGTTTCTTCATTCTCCATCTGTAATGTTGCGTCTGTCTGATTTCTTTCCCGCTCTATCCCTGCCTCCACCAGCAACACAAATGTTTACCAAGGCAGCGCAGACGGAGGATGTACTAATATCAGTAATTGCTCCCATCTGCTCGCATGCAGTTGTCAATATCTCTGAGTCCACTGCTGAAATTAGACCCGTTCATGCTGCATTCCTATCATCAGTCCATCCATCCCACCAGTCAGGCTGTCGACACAGAAGCCAGTTATGATGCCACATGAGAAACCTCACTCTAAAACTCGAAATCACTGGCAACAGCCAGATGTTTTAATAACTGTTTTTGGCGAGGACACAGATCATCTAGGATTATTAAAATTATTTCTGGCATAATTTTATTCCAAAAACCAAAACAGTTTAACTCTGTTTTTTCAAACAGTAATTACACAGGAACAACTGACTGTTACACAATTACCAAGTCATTAGAAAAATCTTAATGTTAACAGTATAGAGATGAAACTTTAAGATTCCGCAACCTTTGAAAAATAAAAAAGAGCACTGAGAAAAAAACAAAAAAGAAGATCAATCTCTTTGTGTTCCAAAGCCAGACAGTGTTTGAGATACATCAGGAACATGAGACAGGCTGGCTCCATTAGCCAGGCCAAACCATTACTAAGCTTGAAGTGTTTTTATACTCCAAGATAACTGAGCTGTGTGTGCAGTCATCGGAAATGATGGACATGTAATGTTTCCATATGTCAGTGTGCAGTAATGTGCACCGGCACTTAGAATTTTTCTAAATTTGGTTCTTTTCTTCAACATTACTTTCCTTCCTGGACCTGTTGCTCAGACATGTCTTTCTTTGTGAGAGTAGTTTGACACAGAAGCTGATAGATTGATATTAATCTTTTGAATTGCTTTGTTGACAGTGAATCTAATAGTTTTTTGTTCTGAAAATAGGTCTTTTAAGCTGAAGTGGCCAGGGGATGAATATGGGTTCAAATACCTAAAGCAGCAGGTTTAGTCTTATTGATTATCCAATCCTATAACCCCACATGCCCTCGAACACAGGCCGTCTCAACTGCACCAAACAGGCCTCTTCTCTTCGTCTGCTCATCACTCTATCTCCACGTGGACAGACCTTCTAATCTTTTTTTTTTTCCATGGCCACATCACATCAGTGTGTGTGAATGCAATGGCAGGGTGGGGGGTTTTGGGGTGACAGGGCTGCGGTGATCATGGGAGTGTGGAAAACCACCCCTGGTGCGAAGCAATCATAGCCGGCTCTCTATCATCCTGCCCCCTTCGCTAAGTCCATCTAACCTCTCTCAACCCATCACCCGGCAGAGTTGCATGACCCCCCCCCCCTCCATCCTCCATCCTTCCATTATTCCCAGCTCACTAGTCAGAAAATTAGGGTGACACTTGGCAGCCCTCTCTCCCTCTCCCCCGCTCTCCCTCCACCTTCCCTCCTTCTATTTCTCACCCATTACTCCCAGTTCAGTGGTTGGTATATGGAGGGTGACACTAGGCCAATTCAATCTCACGTCCCCATCAGCCACTCAGTGCTGCAGCCCTCCCGTCTCTGGGCATACCCCTCCAACGGGTATTCACTCTGTTTTCTACACTTCACACCTCCCCTGCCCTCCTCAGCTCCACACAACTTTCTATTTCCTCATCCGTCACTCCTGTTTTCCATTTACTTGTCTTTTTTTTTTTTAGGTTACCTTTGACTTTTAAAGTCCTGTGTGTCTCAGGGAAGGTGTTTTCAAGATTGCTGTTGTTCTGGGGCAGTGATATGTTTTATCGTGCAGCTGTACCAGTTGAAAGTTGATGTTGCAGAAAGTCGTCTGTGTAAGCTGTGTGTTCTGTGAGATAACAAAGCTGATGAGCCATTTGAAAAAGTCTGAAAAACTCGAACATTGGAGTGTGTGTTTCCGCTGCCTTTGATGTGTGATGTTGAATAATGCAGATTGTAGAGTAAAATAAACCAGTTGTGTTTACTGCAGAACTACAGCTAAGCTTTGTAGACTGACATGCGCTTAGAGGCTGGGATTTCCCTCTTTGATTTCCTGAATGGCTTCAGGTCTTCTAGATTGGCTTAAAGTGCAAGAAGCTTACAGGTTCAACTAATCTTTACCAATGCAGCTGTTTCCTAATTATTTTGGCAGTGGATATTTGCTTTGCCTGCATTATAATGACCTGGGTTCCATCATGTCAGGAAACATCTCTCATTAAAGGAGAGAAGCTTTTGTAACCAGCCTCTTGACAATATAAATAAGATCCATGGATTTACCCCATGGAGCTTATTTTACTGCAACTCAGATTAGGAGCTAAGCAGCATTTGCATCACTTGGACTAGTAATGGGCTGAGTTAGAGCCAAACACAATGAGAGAGGTCCAGGCCCAGTGAGCCAGCCTTACTCATTAATTAGAAAATTCACTATCAGCCAGTTTCTAACTACCAACTTGGAAGACGGACTGGAAACATTGTCGAAGTTGGGAATAGGTATGTAAATTTACATCTGTACGAATCCTGGAATTAAACTTTTTAAACAACTTATGCTGGATAAATAGAAGTTGAGGAGTATCATGCACAAAGATTCCAACAGCACACCTTCATGCCTAACATAAAACCTGGCTCCATGTATTGAATATATCCTCCTCCTATCTGCTGCTTCTAACACAGCAACCCCAGTCTTCATGTGATCTGTGGGCCCGGCTTTTTAATTCTATTCCCAGCTGGCAGGGATGTTTGTTTTTGTCCTACCCAATATGAGAGGGCTTTGTCATTGGGTAGGGAAGCTGCTTTGTAAGCCAAAATCAAACACTATGATGACGATGGTTTCGACCGAATTGGATGTCATCACTGTGTGCTAAGCCTTTGTCCCTGTTCTTAGAAAAGCAGGCTAACAGATTGATTGTTGGATGCTAATTTACATATTGTTTAGAGATTTACTCTCTGAGCTACTCGTCTTCGCAATTTGACCATTCAGTGTAGCGCTCGGAGCACGACTTCCCCTGTGCAAAGATTTATCCCAAAACTTGCTTTCTTTATTATCCCCAATGGTACAGTGGAAAATCAGGCCATAGGCTTTGAATTAATTGGATAAACCCATAATTTGAATAATTTGGATACTTAAAGTCTAAAATGGTTTGGGCAATTATACATCTTTCTGAAATCACAGAGGATTTTCTCTTCGTGGGAGAGGTCTTGTCCTGCTACTATATACAGTGGAGTATTTGTTCTTCTGTATCCTGACATGCATTCAGTTGACGGCACAAAGAATAATTAGAAACCTCAGCGTACAATGGAATTGGCTCCTTGTTATGCATCTTTGTGCGTCTGTTCTTTGTTGCTCTGTCTGGCACCAGACAGTGGGGGACCTGTGATGGCCTCAACATCCCTGAACACCCAGTCTGGTTGACATAGCACCTGTCTCTAGGATGGAAAGGAAAATTAGAGCCATTTGGCGAGACTCGGTGTAGTCTGTATGTGCAAGCGCATTGCAAGGATTCAGAGCTATTATGCTGTTTTATTTGTCACTGGTTATCGCTTCAAGTTTCATATAACACAGTGTATAAATGGTGTGTAGGCAGCAAGAAGGCAGAAAATTTGGCCACACCATTTCATTTAAAGCCCTCGTAATGCCTGGAACACCCACACAGGTGTCTCCAGACTGTGCTTGACTGACAACTCTTCAGTTAGGGCAGAGTTTCTAATTGGATTTTGGTGACTTGATCAAACAGAGCTCCACTGACAGTTAGCCTGCATCTTACAATATTTATCATCATGTGTGCATCTTGCAGGAGGCCGCATGTTCTCCAGTGGAGTAAGGACTGTAATTGTTAGTATCAATTTAAATGTAGCTGTAGAAACTGATACAAAGAGCAAAAACAATCATGAAATGCTTGGTTTCATAATAAAGTTTATTCTATATTACAAATAGTATTTTGTTCTTGACTGCAAAATAGGAATGCATTATATTTACATACACAGGTATACAATTAATTATAACAAAGTTAGAGAAGCTCGCCTTATATCCCCCAGGTTTCGTTTTTCTCTCTCGATAAGATACTCTTTATCTTTCAAATATGGTCTAGTAAAAGTCTTTTCTAGCATGTTTCTGTAACACCTGCTATAACACTGAGCTAGGAGGACATTTTTAGTTCCTACAAAACGTTTGAAGGTGGAAACTTTATCTGTGCTCTTGGCAACACAAGGTAGCTACTAGCAGACAACCTTTTGTTGCAGGGTGGGGGGCGGGGGGCAGGGAGAAATGAAAGACAGGAAGTTTCACTGGGGGGCAGATTCACAATGACAGTCCAGGACTCTCACCTTGTGTTATTTAGGAACACACGGCTGTTAGGGGGTACTTTGGGTATCTAGACACAGTATACAATGGCTACATGAATGAAAGAGGTTCTTTGAAATTGTCTAAATGTGTGTCAGTGGTAAGTTTCTTACAATATTAATGCCAGTCTTGCATGAATTAATCATCCAGATGCTAAATCAGTCCTTATTCTCCAATAACAGATAATAGTAACAGTAATATATTTGATATGTTTACGACTCAACATGTCCAGCAAACACCTTGTGAATGTACCCCTCCAAGTTGAAACAACAGACATTCATCATACTGTATAGCTGCAGACGGTTATAATGGAAAATGGGTTGGATATCTCACATACATTTGACACAAGGGCTAAAAACAGTCACTTGCCAAACTCAGTCTTTAACATAAGTCTACTATCAAGTCTGACGTGCCTCTCCTGTTAGAAAGCTGTGTTAATCTGTTTGATAAATCACATGTGTTCATAGTTTCTTCCAGGTTTTTTTTTCTTTTTTCTTTTTTTTTAATCGAAAGGGATTGTAACGTTTGTGTTTTGTGACGAACATTTTGGCAACTGATCTAGTCTTTTGTTGCTTTTTGTGAAATGGACTTTTGTCAAACCCAAGTATCCATCTTTTGGACTCTCGTTTCTATTCTGGGCTCAACTGATGGAGAAAAACAAAGCAGTTATGATGAATTAATCCAATGCAGTAAAAAACAAGACGTAATAGCAGCAAAGAAAGAGCAAGACTCAACTTGCATCTTCTACCAGAACTAAAACCACAGAGGAGACACAGCTGTAACAGAAAATGGATGGACTGTAATGGAAGACAGAGTTAAAGGGACAAGAAAGATGGTCCTACTGTAGAATTTACAAATAGGGTTTGTGTTGTCTGGTGAAATCCATAATCTTAAAATGAGCAGTTGGCTTGTAAATGACTTTAAAGTCCCTTGTAGTAGTAGAAGTATATAAATATCTTTGAGCAAGGCAGTTCCATTTCATACCATCCAAACAGGTCAACATGCAAGGGTATATAATATTTAGCATCTAACACTTCACAAAAACCATGGCCATGAGGTTCTGCAATAGGGTTGAACTGGATAAAGGTTCCACCTTAAACGAAAGTTATAGTTTTTATTACATGAACAATCCACTTTTCCATCTCGATTCTTCCAAGCAAAAGAAAGATAAAAGAACACATCCACATCATCATTGCAAGGCTTAATTTTCTTATTTTTCATTTTTTTTTAAATAAGTTTCTTAAATTGTTTACGTTTTACATGCGCTTAAAAAGCCAATAAAGGACCCAAGGTGGACCTAGGGCGGTCTTCACACATTCACATCACCACATGGGGCACGTTGTCAAGGCAAAAGAAAGGGCAGAGGTCAAAAGGTACGGAGGGCGCCTCCATCATCTCTCTTTCAATCGCTCTCTCCCACAGTGGGGGTTCACATCCAACAAGTCTTACCTACTTTTAATGTCTATCATTTTTCTATTTATCCTGCCGTGATGCTCGTTTCTTGTTCTGTTCCTGCTCTGCTTTATCAGATTTTTTCTTTTTCTTTTTTTTTTTTCTTTTTTTTTTTGAGGCTTGGAGAAGGCTGCCCCCTGCCGCCACTGAGGACAACTACACTAATACAGACAAGAGCGCCTCAACAGTTACACACTCAAGAGTTGGGGTTTTGCCGTATGCAACTAGCTACCATCTCCAACGCTTGTGCAAAACAGATAAGAAAACTGGTAAGTCAGGAGCCGGACACAGGGGTGAACGGTGTGCCGAGAGCCGGAGAGACCCGGGACGATGGAAAGAGAAAGGAGGATCAGATCACCTCGCCCACAGAGCCTCTCACCTCGACACACTGAGGTCAGAAAAATCACACAGGTTTCTTTAAGTTCCAGTCACAATATTTTTTTTGTCCTAGACGTGGTTGTCTTTTACATAGTCCTTTTTCTGTCAGTTCCTCAGTGGCACTTTACAAATACATTTTTGACCGTTTTGAAAATTTCAAGCTCCTTTGGTTTTTGGCTGACCGACGAAATCCATCTTGGTTGATTTCTCCACACAAAAGTCTTTAAATAAGAACATCCTGGGAAAGAAGTGCTACTCTCTCAACAGAGCCCCTTTAGGTAGAAGTCAGCAGTCTCTGACTTCACTGTATTGAATCATTCTTCTTATTTTTCATGATCAAGCAGTTTCTTACCCAGTACATTTCAGTCAGCTCTTCCCTTTTCCTCCTCCAGAGTTAGAGTAAATATCTGGGCAGTTGGGAACTTGGGCAGCTGCTGATTGTGTGTATCTGTGCATGTGTGTGTGCTTTGATAGACCGTCGCAGTGGCGACACAAGATTGGAAGTGGCAAGAGCCAAAGACTGCTCCCGGTGTTTGGATTAGCAGTCAAAACACTGTCTTCCAGAGTTGGTTGTGTGCTTCTTACAGAGGATCCAACTTGGGTCAGGGCCTCCAGGGTTTTATCTAATAGGTTAATTTTGCAGTAGCCACATAAGCCAGATGGAAGCAGAAATCATGAGCATTTTCTTTGAAGTAAATGTACGCTGGGCAGGGAAAAATGTGCGAATGTTGCAAAGGGATACAGGTTGGAGATGCTCTGGTTTGTAAAGTTTTAGTGTCAGTCACGTTTCAATAAAGGAAAAGTTCAGAGAAGCACTAATCCTTCCCTATCCCCCATCAGTCTTACTCTTAAATACAACTCCAGCTACATTGAAAGAACACAAGAACATTCTAGGTTTGCCTGGACTCGCCCCAAATTTCACAGATATGTATGCTTTGCTTGTAGGTACAGTGTAAACTTGGCAAACCATCCTTGCATTAATTTTCTTCAGAGGTGTTCATTTGGCTTGCAGTCATCATTTTTGATGTTTCCTCTTGATTCCCTATATTGAATATAGAACTACAATAAACTGGACTCTAGAGATGGTTTTATTTTAACTATCCTATTTTGAAAAAAGTTCTCAACAAAATGGACACCCAACATTGTGGTTTTTAAAGAATTACCTATCAGTGTAAATTCTTGAAGGCAACATAAAAATGTTTTTTCCCCTCTTTTCTTCCAGCAGGGGGACTGAAGTATGCCAATATGGCCAGCTTTCAAGCAATCACCCCTTGAAGCGCTCCCTGTGGTGAAGCTGAGGGGTCCCCCGCATTGCACTGTGGGAGACGCCAACCTCAGCCCCGAACCACCCTTCAGATATATTCAGGTAAACTAGTCTATGCAGCAGAGTGGATGAGGAAAACAAAATATTTCTTGGGGAAGAGGAAGCAGAAAAAAGATCAAGGAAGAAGTCATCTTTGAAAGGCGTAGGAAGTCACATGATGAAAAAGATGGGGACAGGTCTTCGCTCAGGCACGGCTCGGTTTCTGATGGGGTCTCTTCCCAGTGCGCCCTGGGAAGTGCGGTCCTCAGCTCTCCAGACTCATGAAGGCCACCACCTGCTCCAGCTTGAAGGCCAGCCTCTGTTTCCTGGCTGCATCATCCTGCTCCAGTGAACACACAATCTGCCAGCAGGACAGAGAGGTAAACACAGACACACAAAGACGTTACTGGAAATATTCTGTACAACAAAACTGCAGTCAATACGATGCTCCAATGTGTTTTGTAGTTTCTACCTATTAAAATACTCCATGTAGACTTCAAAGGTGGCTATGAAAAGACTGGTCAGTTTGACAGTGTTTACAGTGGCGACACCAAGTCGCAGCAAAGACACTATCATAACGTCCACTGTCTTTTCAAACCACAGCTGCAAAATGATCCCCTTCTCTACTAGTTTCTCCACAGCAAAGCTGTTCACATATTTGAAGGGCTGAACCATTGCAGGAAATAAAGCATCAGTCAAGTTATTGGTGAGGTAACAATTGTTTGGAAAATGCATGACATTTCGATGCCTTCTTCTTTTCCAGTCTGGATGGATGGTGGAATTCATTTGAACTGCTGTGTATCCATGCTGACTACAGCTGCAGTGCTTCATAGACAATCTTGTGAGGAACACCTTTGAAGCTTCCAGCAGGTGGGTATTTCGTGAGTGTAATTTCCACTGGGTATAGGAGGAACATGTCTGCCTAACTTTTCAGAGAGTTGATTAAGATGTTGATACAATCCTCTGGCCTTCAGTAATAACTTTTGCCAGTAGCAGCTACAATTGTGATTTTTTTGCCCTGGCCTTTGCCTCTCAGGCAACAATACAGGTTAAGCCTGTGATTGGTGGAGGAAGGTGCAAGCTGCCTGAGGGGATGATTTGAGACACTACTCAGGACAAAAAAAAAACTGCAACCCCCTCTGCATATTTTTCAGGAGAAAAAAATCAATCATTTACTTTAATACTCTCCAGCATCATGTCCATCAATGAAACCAAATGCTAAATGCCACTGTAGAGTCAGGGAATTAATACAGCAACAAAAGCACAACCAATTTATTTTCTAGATTGATACTAATGAAGATTATATAAAACCAATTTTCAGTGAATTGTTCCCTTTAACCCTACTTACCAAAAATCTGTCACATCAGTGAGTCTAAAATGTACTAAATCTTAAGTCAGTGGTGGCACAGATGTGTTGTTTAGAAGTGTAGTGTCACAGTATTACATACCTCCTCAGTGTATTTGCCGACATAGGAGTAAATCTCACTGAGAGAGCTCATGGTGTTGAACTCATTCATGTGCATCCGTGACTGCTCTGCCAAGTAGGCATTCATGTCCTGGTCGCTGATCGCTGGCATCTTACTAATGTCTGAGTAGTACCTATTAAGAGAGGAGGAGGAATAAAACATTAAGCATTAAGCATGAACAATTGTTAGGAATATGTTTACTGCAGAGAACATTGTTAGAAACACTGGTAAATGATTAGGGAAACAGAATACACCCAGCACTGTGTTTTAATGTAGATAGAGCTGCTGTTTTCCTTGGAGCTCAGTACTCATTGTAGTGGTTTACAGCAGTTCTTTGAAGATATTTAACTAATGCATGTAGCACAGAGGCAACAAGTGTGTTGCATAGTAACATAACTGGAATGGAGTCATACTAAACACTGACAGGCTTTAGATTTCAACTTTGAACACCACAACAGAACACACACACTAGCAATGAGGTAAAGGCAATCAGTCACTGTCGGTAGCAGCTGTGTTGCCCCTATCAACTATGTTAATTAAAGCTGCTTATTTACATATTAAATTCCTGTAGCTGCAGCCGCTTGAGGACAAGCCCAGTGTTTGGCTGGATAATTCTGGGCGTGTGTGAGAGAGAGAGATGACATTTGCCAGGAAACAAGTCTTCAGAGCAAACTGAGCAAAGGAAAAGGCAGGTGGGTGTTGCTCATAGCTTTTGCACAGAGGTCACACACACATCAACACCTGTTTGGTGCTGGAGGGCATGTTGTAGGGAGCTCCTAGCAGGGGATTGTTAGTGTAGAGACCAGGTGTGCTTGTTTTAGGAAAAAAGTTTTTATAAACAAAATTAAAAAAAAAACCTTGGTTTGGAAAAAAACTTGTGAGGATATTTATAACATCATTTTGTATCCGTGTTCCATGTCTGCAATAATTTGTGAAAGCATCTTTATGGAAAGACTGCTTCTAGGATCATTTAAAATACTATTATTTTAAAATGTTTTTTATGGAATAATTAGTTACTTAATCTTTCAACCATTACACCCTATGGAAAATCTTAATCTTCACTGCATAGTTGCAATAAGAGCTGTATCATGAAAAAATGAAGGGGAACATAAAACGTTGAATGTACTGATCCATATGCAAACACCCTTGTAAACACATCATGTTATGACAGCTGTGATGGATTTGTTATTGTCTGGAGACCATCAACTCCCACATCAAATTCAAGGCAAGTGTCAGTATCTTGCTAGAATGCTTCACTTCACAGCCCCAAATTAATAACATCAAACATACTGCAGCAAGTAAAAAGCTCTCTGTAGGATGTCACTGCACTGCCTCCAACTCCCAAATTAAGAAACAAAAATGTAAAACTGCTGAATATGCACACTTGTGCTGTTGTTGACTTATGTCATTTATCAGCATTTTAAGAGGTTTTCTTTGTGCAGCATACAACGCTACTTCTGTCTAAACAGAGTAGCACTGAGACACAAATTTCCATTAGTTTGCTCCTGCTCTTTGGGTAAGGACATACTATCTTTATAAATAAAGGTGGCGGAAAAAAAATACAGCCTTCCCTTTAGTGCTCCTTCAGAAGCTCCACCCCCCAAATTCATGGATGTGCATTGCCAAGGCAACAACATAAAGGTGTGGAAGTGGATACTCTGTCTCAGAACTGGAGCAGAACAAACCTTATATTATAAATGTCATCCAAAATACAATGGAGAAAAAACTAGCAAGAATTGCTGCAACAAATGTGCAAAAAAAGACGTGATTTAGAGGACAGTGGGATGCTCCTGTTTTTTTTTTTTGATTTTAAGCATTTAAAACAAACATTTCCTGAAAACCCCTTACTATGCATGTTGGCCTTTAAAAACAGCATTTACACACAAATCTCTCTGCTTGAACTATGTGCATGAACTCTACATAAAAATATAGGCTAAAATTTCAGCTTATGCTGCCATCTACAGTAGGAGCTGCTATATTCTCTGTCCACATGGATCTTTTTTCTTTCCTTACACTATCCAGATCTTTGAATTGGCAGAGGACCTTCATAATTTCCTCACACTTGTGTTCATGAGAGACCACATACAGACAAACATAGGACTAATGAGTACGGTCCTGAGCCTGAAGCTCCTCATTTGGTTCTACCCATTCAAGCAGTGCACATATATTCTCATCCTGAGGCTTGCCCTGTGACGAAGCTACAGACACGAATACACTGAACCGCTTCACAGTACCCCATCTTTTATTCAGGGCTTCTTCGCCTTCCCTGCTGACAAATAAATTTAATAAAATTCTCATTTTAACAAATTACCGTTCTGCTGCCTGCTACTCTCAAAAATGCTTTCTCCCTCTCTCTTTTTTCTTTCCCCACACACACTTCTGCACCCTCCCAACACACCAGCTCCCTGTACTGTAGATCTCATGCCCTGGGCGCTCCCATCCATTCCCACTGTGTTGTAATTTGGATTGTGTTTCATGGCCCATAGATCACAGAGCTACAGTCATATTGTATGTGTTGGAATGAAACATGGCTAATGCAGGTTTTCTGATGTTTTCACTCACATAAGAGCCCACACCCACACACATTTCCTCTCTTCATCCATCCAGTGTTTGGTGTGTACACTTGTGTGCTTCTATCAATGGCTTACCTCTCCACCCAGCTCTTGTAGCTGGGGATGTCCTTGGCATAAAGCAGCTTGTTGGAGGGTGAGTCCTTCCCAAGGCGGTGTTCTGAGGTGGAGCAGGAGTCCATGAAGGTCTGGGCTACCACAGACAGACAGGCGTCTGTGATGCTGCTCTTATGGATGTCAAACACAAACTGGGGGTTCTTGATCACATTCACCCAGAAACGCAGAGGTAGGCTGGGAAAGGAGAACAAAGTTATGTGAAACTACTGATTATACAAGTTTTGTACTTTTACTTTTTCATTACTGTTAAATTATAGTATGTACGTGTGCTGCAGTCTGATATTTCATAATCCTAAAATAAGACATGCTAATGTTGTTGGATGTTTTAACTGAACTGTACTGCAACCTGTAAACAAAATGTCATCTGTTATTTAAAAAAAAAAAAAAACTCTAAGAGCTAATGAGACAGAATTACCTATGACATTTCCATGCACCATGCATATTAATGTATTCTGCTGTGTTGGGCCTCCTCATGAAAATGACTTTTGCATTGATTGTTCAGTTCCATCTCAGTGACAGAATGCTCAAATAGTCATTCAAACAGAGAAACAAAGAGTGTAAAGTAAAATAACAGTCTGTGTCCGGTTGAATTGCTCTGAGATTAAGTCTCTAAATGCCATTTTTATATTTGCTACAGCCAGCCAGGCAATAGACATGAACATATTATGCGCCAGAAGGGGGACGAGGATGCATTCACTTTGCAAAGCTAGTACACAGGCCCCGCTGTTGCCGATGTGCTCTATTTGATGTGTGTGCTCAATTCAATAAAGCCTTTATCTTTAAAACCAGGTGGTGGCTGGCTCTCATTTTTTCCAGCAGTGTCCAGGGGTCCTCACAGGGGGCCGCACAGTGACACAGTTCATATTGCCTTGTTTGTGCAAGTGGGTCCTATTTTGTGCCTGTCTAGAATAATAAAAATATACAAGTCTGTTTATTTGCTGGGCTTGTTTCTAGCAAAATGAATAGATATAGGGCCAGCTTTATCTGTGTGTTGCAGTGAAAGGGCTCAGGTGGTATTAAGAAAGAGCTGAGTGTTACTTGGATCTCTATATCTTTACTATTCTCTGGGCTATGTGGTTTTAGCTGACATGGCAAAAATATAACAGAAAAAAACTGCAGTCTAGCCTGCATACGAGTTTCTCTGTCTGGCACAATATCAAAGGATGAGGGGGGGGGGGAGACAATAAAAACTGAAATGCAATCATTTAAATACCACCGGTGCTCCCCTGCCATCCAACTAAGCATTTATCCTACCACAACCACCCACAAAGCCATTCAGATGTACATTCTTACAAAAGAGGATTTGGAGTGAGAGGAACGAGAAACTCTGCGTTATGACTTCAAAATTAATCTAAGCAAAGAATCTAGTGGGATTAGGTGCATGGATCAAAGGGATATTAACACCACTGCTGTGCTGCCTTGATTGTTGACAATCTGCCCCAGCTGCCCTGTGCTTTGAGGTTCAGGTTCCCTGCATAATTTTGTGTGTTCAAAATGGCCACCATAATAACATCTACATATTATCTATTGTGTTGAAAATAGGCAAAGCACTTTTTCTTTTCTGCAGTTAACTCATGCTGTGTAGTTTTAGGAATCTGAAAGATGACCATGATGGGTCCTTGTGGTTAGGGATTAGGTTAAATATCAGCTGCCAAGATCAAGGGCATCTCTTATCCGAGAGGAATTACACCAACGGAGTCAAAAAGAACCTTTGCATTAAAAGACTCTTCCTCTGTCAATTTGGGACTACATAGTGCAGTCAATTTAAACTGATAAAAGAAAAGAGTGTGATAGCAAAAATGTAGCTTGTAGCTTACTCACTAGTCTAATAGGAAACATTTGTTAATATAAGCAACAGTTTGTACAATGGCTGTATTTAGTTGATTAAATAGTGGCTCAGAGTAGACTGTCCATTTCAAAGGAGTGATGTATAATGCAGTACTACAGAGTGGTAGCTGGTTTAAAGTCAACTCGGCTAATCCTCGTCTCTCCCGCGAGGAAAGATTACCAAACAGTACTGACAAAACTGTGTAATTGTCAAACAGCAAAACAACCACACTAATGTAAGCTCTGTTTACTGGGCCTGGTTCTAAACACTTCGAAGGGTACTATACAGCAAATGAAAACAACAAAAGTTACACAAGCATACAACAACAGCAACTAAGTATCCCTGCGGTCCCTCAGTAGCATGACTAGCTGCCTCTTGCAGTTTGCACTGTTTGACACTTCTGGCACCCACACAGAGCCAGTCAACCTCTGAATCTGCAGTGTGGGGTTGTTGTCCCATTTCTGCAGAAGGGCCTGATGAAGTTGCTTGCCATTGGCAGGCAAAGGGTCACAGATGTTGTGATCCTGGGCATCTCATTCGTGGCACTACAGCACACACTGGGAACTGACCGAGCCTGACCTTTTTCATCCAGCGACCTAAGGTTTGAATAAACAGTGTTATAAAGGTGACCTGACCGGGCATTGTTCCAGCTGGACCTCGGAAGGCAAAACGACACAACCTTTCATGTGAAAGGCAAGTTGCAGTCCTTTACTACATAAGTCGTATATCTGGACAAAGAGCTTAGAACAAATGGAAAACTTTTTGTAGATTATACAACTCAGCCCAACTCCAAAAGACCTAGTGATTCCACTGACAATCTGTGTGGGGATGGAACTGCAATATGACAGCAGATAGGTGGTTATCTGCATGCAGAAAAGAGGAGTGAGTGTGTGTGTGTGTGTGTGTGTGTGTGTGCCAGTTTTGCACAATAATTAAAATTCTGTCTGTTGCATCGCAACATGACAAACATGCAGTGCAGACAGAGAGACACACACACACACACCAGATACAGAAAAGCGAGGATGAGAGGAGATGCTGACACACTGCTGCTAATCCAAAAGATACCATCTGGTGATGCTCTAGGAGCCAGTGACTCATGCATGCACACATTTATACTGTACACGCATACAAATACACATTACAACTCTGCCACACGAAGCAGAAACAACTTTAGCTGATTTAAACTTGGCACAATCAAAATGTACAAACACGATTTGCTTCAAAGATCTCGACTTTATACACAGGTAGGCTGATGAAATAAGGACATAGGCAGGCATTGTGTTAGTGCTGTTGCTATCCCTAGACTGCTGTGACAGATGACCTTGGATTTTAATGGGTCACAGATAAATTCCTGGGATACAATAAATCCTGGATGCCATCTTTAGGTCTCTCAGGTCAAACTGTGTAGATGTTCAGAATCAATGGAAATCTGAAATGTACCATACAGCTGTGATGGCAAGCAAGACTCATACCAAAACACCTTTTTCCTGTTGTAGAAAGGTCATACATTTCCCTGTCCCTTCTGATAGTATTTTATCAAAAGCAAATTGTTGGTATAACAATAATATAAGAAGCAAACTTTTAACAAGATAAGCCCTGAAGCACTAGAGACCCCGGGATAATCTAAAACAAGGGCTACATCAAAGGATGTATAGTGAAGCTCTGATGATGGGGAAACCCTGAAAGGGAGGTGGGGGTAGCTGTAGGGTGTGGGGGCTCTGGCTGGCATGATGGGTTGAAGTTAATGGTGTGTATGATGACGATGGGCCTGGTAGGTTTAATGGGACAAGGGGCCCAGAATGGGAGGGGCACTGGCCTTATTATTCTCTACCATCAGACAAAATGAAGGCTTTTAGGCGAAGGCGATTAAAGGTTATAGGTACGCACAATGGTGAGAGGTGAAAAGACACAGCCATATGCACGTCCCACACAGAGAGGATATCGGTGGTGGCATCAGCACAAACTGTTGTGTGCAGTCAAAGTGGCTTTTTGTGATGGTGTGTCATGATAAATTGCTATTCATTCACGGTCCTCTAGTGAGAGCCCATTCCATTAAAAGTCTAATGTAAGAGCCGCTTGCGCTCTCAGAAAAACACTTAACACACACACTGTAAATGGCCCAAGAACGCAGACACAGGCAAGGACCAAAATTAGGACCATAGCATAAGGTAAATAATATTTCTACCCCTTCTTTAGCCCCTTACCCATCCCTCCTCCCTATTTGTCCCTTGATACACATCAATTTTATCCTCCCATCTCCACGGTTCTCCTGGGCCTGGGGCTGAGTGATGCATGCTGGGATCTTGGCAGAGGCCAGGAGGCTAATGAGATATTAGTGTGCGTTTAACTCCCACTGAGTTCACTTCCCTTTCTTCACCTTTTCATTTCTCTCCTCACTGCATTCTAGTGCACTGTTGGTTATTTAACCCCTACCAACCTCTTCAGGTGGGCTCACGGAGGTCAGGATGGTCTAAATTAATCAGCGGATATTAATTTAGTGGCGTACTTCCTGCACCTGGGAGCGTACATTTGTCACTATGGCGATTTCCACAGTGACAGGCGTTTTTTGGCCCAGTTATCAATGATAATAGATGGAGAGTCTTGGCAGCCGATTGGATTAGCCCCTTGTGGTTGGCTTTAATGAAGATTACACGCCCCTGTGGTTAATGGATATTAGGAAGGGAAGAGGCGTGTGGTGAAGCTTGGCACTGACACTGGGCAATATGAGGGCAATGCCATGTGAAATGTGCCAAAATGTACTGATTGTGTCTGCAGTGTATTAAGTACCAGTGCAGAAAGAAAAGGCCATGAAGGGAACCGAAGGCACCACACTGTTACACAAATGATGGAATAAACAAAAGATCCAAGTAACTGCCTCAACAGTTTCTTAAGTGTTCATGAACAGAGCCCATGATGTCTTTGTGTGTATGCACCTTTCTGTGTTTGCAGATATGTGCAGACATATGCCTGAACCACTTAACTCACCAGTTGCTCTTCCATGTGTGTCGAACATGTGGGTCATGGATGTTGTGTTTGTCTGCCTGCTCATCCAGGAAGTCAAACATGTATTTGATGGCCAGTGGCAGGGCACTGCCTCGATGGGCTGTGCTGAAGATGGTCTCAAACAGGTCATCCACAAACTTCTGTAATGTACCCTAAAGAGCAAAGAGAGGACAGATGAGAAACACATTATTTAAAAGGCCTACAACAGGTGATAATCACTAGTTGATACAGCCCTCAAGTCTTCGTGGGTCTACAATTTGAGTGCGTTAAGCCACTATCTATATTAAATGGGACACGGAACCAGTGAATGAGACTGTCACTGTCTAATACATTTAGCAGCATACCATACCTAATGTTGACAGAAAGATTGGCATAAACTTGTGAAGTGCATGTCACTTTGTCCCCCAGCTGCGATATTTATGTGTCTGACTCCTATCTCACAGACCCGGCCCCTAAATCCGCTTGCAGCTTTGATGGGGGAAATTGTTATTTCACAGCTGACTTTTAATAATATCTGGGAACAGGAGGCGCATCTCCTAAGCCTCTTTGTGCTGCCGGATTAGCTCCCACACTGCACCATTGACCCTAATTTGATTTAATGTTGGCGACTTTAAGAAGGAGGAGGAGAAAAGAGAGGAGAGACAGAAAGTGAGAGAATCTAATCCTCTTGTAAAGAATGAAGCTGATGGGATGCACAGGAAAAGGCGAGAGCGAGGGATGGAAATGAAACGACAGAGGTTTCCTATCAGGGAAAGATTGCCATTAAGTGTGGCAGATGAGGTGTGTACGGGCACTGGCAAATAAAAATCCAATTTGGGTTGGAGCGGGTGACTGAATCACGGAGTCAAGAGAGGTAGGAGAGAGTGGGAGGAGAGAATCCTGTTAGTCCGACAATCACGGCTATAATTCTAATGTGGCCCACATTCCCGACAGCTTATCGTTTTTCTATGAAGATGGAATCACATATCTCTATATCAAGCCCATGTGCCTTCCAAGTGACAGTCTGCATTAGCTGGCAAGGGAAGACCTGACATTTTGTGTGTGTATGCATAAATGTGTGTGTAGATACTAAAACCTGTGTGTGCGCCTACAAGTGCTGAGGCGGTGACATTTTATGTCATCCTCTATCTCAAGGGGGACTTCTGCATCAACGCTGTCATCATCACAGGGTTGTCTTGTTCCCTGCTGGAGCTGAGACTACCAACACTGCCAACACCCTCCCCCCTCCCCCCCTCCTTCTCGACCATCTACCCTGTCATTAGACCACACTCTAAACACAATGTGTCATGTGGATGTTTTGATGCCGTCTGCCTCCGCATTGAAATGAGAGGAAAGCAAACAATCAGAACGTTGGTGATGGCACTGGAACAGAAATAGAGAGACGAAGAAGGATGTGGCGAGGTAGAGATGAACACACACATTCTTGAGTGCACAAGTGAGGAGGGAAAATGCGATCTTTCCTCGTGCCCCTTCACTCTCCACACACATGAACACGACCTGCACCCACACTCAGTCAGAGTGACACTGATGGAGCTAATATGAGAGGCGTCAGCGGCGTTGCCAGGGAGAGGTATTTATTGGCATGGTGAAAGCCAAACGCAGTCAATTACACTGCCTGTCTGCCCAGTCATTTCTCACCAAGAGAGATGGCCGGCCAAGATAAACTGGTTATTTCACAAAAACAATCCATCTGGAAAGATGATGTGCTGTCTACAGTCAGAAGCCACCTTCCTGCTCTCTGCAATGGGATAATGGCAGGGAAATAGAGCGACTCACAGAGGCCGAGAGGTGACCTGTGCATGTGTGTAGGTATGCGGAGGGCTATACAGTATGATCCATGGTGACGGCACTGCCTTTCTCCTCTCCTACCTCTTATTCTACAGGCTCCAGTTTGTTTGTTTGTTTATTAGTTTATTTCATACATTCCTCCTCCCGTCCTGTTTCATAGACACCGTCTCTCTTTCTGCTCAGTTATCTGCTTTGATTCACCTGACTTTACTCATCTACACACACATCTGCTGTGGCTCAGGTAGAGCGGGTCATCCACCCATCGGAAGATTGGTGGTTTGATCCCCAGATCCTCCAGTCCGTATGTCAAAATGTCCTTGCACGTAGTGAACCCCAAATTTTCCCTGCTGATGTATCATCTTTGTGTCAAAGTGTGTGTGTGTGTGTGTGTGTGTGTGTGTGTGTGTGTATTAGAAAAGTGCTCCATATAGAATAGGTGTTGTATGAATGTGTGTGTGAATGAGTGAATGTGACCTGTAGTGTAAAGCACTTTGAGTGCTTGTTAAGACTAGAAAAGCGCTACATAAATGCAGTCCATTTACATCTGCACAGTCATTAGTTCTCCCAAGTATAAACAGAGCGAAGTGTTCAGTTGTTTGTTTGCTACACTGTCCATTTAGCCGCTCTGCTGATAATGTATTTCTACTTAATGGAAGACTTTTTTAACATTTTAAAGAAAAAACAACTCACTCTTCTTACAAATAAAAAGCTGAAGTCATAAATGCACAAAAATGCACTTTCAATACATCCAGGGAGTTTTCTGCTACAATCTTACTTAGTCTGATATGACCATTTGCTTTGGTGGCTTTTCCAGTTATGTTACAGTTACACTGTTTTAGCCTGGACTTTGAATATGAAATCCGAATGCCATGTGGTCTGATAATCAGCACACAAGACATTAAACTTTCTATGCTTTGTTACTCTGTGTATGTGTGTGTGTGTGTGTGTGTGTAGAACTCACTGCATTTACAGTACATACATGGAGCTGAGGTGAACTACTAAAAAAAGGCGGACACTGCGTCAAAAAACAAACTGAAATGTTACTGAAGTTACTGCCTCAACATGCTCAGCTCGTAGCTTCTTTTTCTCTTTTTACCTTGTCTGTACTGTGTCTGATAGAATGGATGTCTTGATGAAAAAAGAAGGAAAAGGTGCTTTAGGAGTGGATTGGTAATTTGCATTCAGCTGTTGGATCAAAGTCACATTTCCCTCCAAACCAAATTAACAGTTTTTTCTTCCTGGGGCCATTGTTTCAAGGCATATTCAAAGAGACTTTATAACCATTTCTATTTTTGCCTGATCATTTTTTTCATTACAGAAACACCTTCACTATCTTCATGGGTCTTTTTATCTTTACCCTTTTTGATATGCTGCTGCATCAACGCAACAGTAATGAAAAGAGAAAACAAACAGAAATATCTATTTTCTCTTTCTCACCTACGGGGATAGAAGAATACATTTGAATAATCTCTTCCAACGAGATGACTCATCCAAAGTAAACATGAATATTTAAATAAAATGAGATTATTCTGAGTCATGGTAACACAGGGTGAAGGTTAGTGTAACCTTTTAGCCTTTCACCTTGTGAACTGCTTCAAGAAAAATACAGTTCACCTGGTAATGTAGTTAATTGATGCAAACTGATGGTACAAAGCTGAACTTTTCTTTGCTGTTAAATCATTTGCCCTGCAAAATATCACAGATCCCAATAAAGAATGAATCTAGCATGAAACAAGATGACCCTCTACCAATGAATAAACAAATCATCACATGTAAGATTTTCTCTCACAGATGGCTCACCTTGGTAGCCAGAAGTCGTGTCAGGTAGATCTCAGAAACCATCTTGCTGCCGCGGTCGCCCTCCTTCTGGTCTCCATGCTCATGGTTCTTCACCAGGTGCCAAACCTTGACCCCGCTCTCCAGGTCAGGAGTGATCATCGGAGTGCGGGAACGCAGGCTGTCAGGGCTTCCAGTGTACTTGATCATGTTCTCTGTGAAGAAAAACATGCATGAGGTCATGTAGTACTGATATAACCATACACAACAGTGTCACTCAGTGTGACTGTAGTTTTCGTCTCACATCACTCCCATCTGTATGCAACTTCTGACTATAGTATATCATATGAAATTATCTCAGTAACATTAATGTACAGTTCATGTAAAGATCTGTAAACTGTATGCTGGTGTTTGTTTTTCCTGCCTGAATCAGGAAGAGAAAACAATCAGAGGGGAAACTGAGAACAAACAAGACACATCTGAAACTTAATCAGAGCGAATTTTGAGGTGAACAAGAAGAAAAGAAAGCTAACAAAAGAAGCAACTATCAGACTTAGTACAAATAAACAAACAAAAAATAATGAAGAGACAAGTCTGTTGTTTCTCCAAAGAGAAAGGGAAAGCCATAACCTCCATGTCAGCAGCTGAATGCAGTTTTTTTGCTTGTGGCTTCCAGTTTACAGGTCTGGGAGATTGGATATGAAACTTTTAGAAAGTGTGCATGGTTAATTTTTCATGGCTTCTTCTCCAAGGGAAAAGACATGGCATCGCCGGCTGACACAAAATCGAACAGGTGTCAGATGAGATGAAATATGTATGGCCCACCCAATGGCCGGAGTGGCGATGACATTTCCAAACACATGGCTCAATGAATGTTTACATAGTGTGAAAAAAATTGATTAGGGGGTGCGGTTTGGAGAGAGGAGCAAAGAAAAAAAAGAGTGTTTTTCACCGTGACAGAAATCAATCTGTTCAGAGAGAAAAGCGGGAGGAGTGTATAGAGGAGAGAGTTCAGGGGAGAGTGAGACGGCTAGAGAGATCAGATACAGAGAGAGAGAGAGAGTGTGTGTGTGTGTGTGTGTGTGTGTGTGTGTGTGTGTGTGTGTGTGTGTGTGTGTGTGTGTGTGTGTGTGTGTGTTTGTATCGACTGTTCAAATTTGATTACAGTGAGATCAACTGAAAATGCTTGTCTCTCCTATAGGGCACTTTAGTGGTTTGTTGTCAGACCCCGTGTCAAGTATTCTCCACAGGGCTGTCAATTTGGTATTACTTTTATTTTTTCTCGTACACTGGACAAGTGTGACACTAATTGCGCCTTTCTTGGGGTTGTGTGGTTGCAAGAGGATGTGAGGTGGGACTTTTTTTAAAGGGAGAGTGAGCAGTACATTCATTTTGTGTTAATTATTTATTCCAAGAAGTTAGAGAGCCGAGGGTGAAACAGAGTCAGGGAGACACAGGAGAGGGATTTCTGGTTGGATTCTATTCTGATCCAGCTCCACACACAGGAGTTGTTTTTTTCTGTTGTTTTTTTTTCTTCTCCTTCTGGTTTTTGATGGAAACTTTACATCAAAGATCAAACACAACGGTTTTTCCTTTCATTCTCTGACTCAACATGTTACACAGTGTTTGTACTTTTTCCGTAACTTTTTCTCCTGCTCCTCGCTCCCGCTTCCTCCTCAGCAGCTCTAACAAATTCGACCTCGTCTCTTTCTTCACCATTTGACCATTGTACTCAGAGAGAGTTCAAAGTCACTCAAGCACCACACCAGTTGTGAAGTGGATGACACTTGCGTTTGAAGTCAATCGCTTAAAAAAATGTTGAGGGGAGATATTCCTGGCATCCTCCCTCCCCTTTCAGTTGCGCCACTCACCTCGTCCTATCTGGTCTCATTTGGAGCCAGAGAGGCGAGGCGAGACTGCATGGAGATGAGGCGATGCTAATAATGTGGCACCACATTTGATGTGTCTGAAGTGTTTGTGGGCAGCGAGTCTGGCCCTTTGATCAGCAACTAACTTGATGGTTTCGCAGGTTCAAGGAGACGTGGAGCAGACGGACAGGCAGAAAAAACACTGGCACATTGAAGGATGAGGGGACACACTTTGGAGTCTCAAGAGGCCAGAACAACAAAAGAAAGAGTCTATTTGGTCTCTTGTTATGTTTCAGAAATCCTTTCAGCCACTCTAAATTGTGTCTCGTCTTCCCCAGTCTGTCATTGTTGTCATGCAGGATCCTGTGGATGCTGGACATTTTGAGATGGGAGCATCAACTGCTGCAGGATCAGTTACTTTCTAACTATTTTTCCCCTTCTTTCTGTAATAAAGTTCTATTTTATAAGCACATATTTGTTAGTTTTTTCTTGTTAGGTCTGTGGTTTTGCTATCTTAAATGATTCTTCAAATGATTTTTAAGTGTATTTTTTAAATGTATTTTGGAAGTGATCATTTTGCTTCAGGTTTGCATGACCTGGCACCTGGATGACAGAAGCCACACCAGCGGTGAGGCAAATACAACTTAAATGAGAGGTTCAGTTTCATGTTGAAATGTTGTACTTCCTTCTTAATATTTATTTAATTAATTAATATGAAATAATAATAATAATAGTATTTGACTATGTTGTGAGTACTTTGAGAAATATACATTTTTATCAGTCCGCCTAGTCTTATGTTTGATGGGAAAGTGGCCCTCTGACTCAGATACAACAGAAACTTGAATATAGAAACAAGTAGACTTACCATATTTACTTGCAGAGGTTCGAGACACAGTGGAATTGTTTACTGAATTATAGGCTGTAACTTGCTTGGGAACCAAGGCCATTACTGCATTATCAGGTACCTGAAAAACAGAGGCACATATGTTATGCAAATGATGTGTTCAAATGTTCAATCAAAGAACCAGAAAAGCCTTTTGCACAGATTTTGTTTTTTCATTTGTGCATATTTCTAATACAACCAATCAAAAAACCCATATATCATTGTACTGGTGTCATGTTCCATATTTCCCTCCATCTATTCTATTTTGATGTTGGTAGGTAATACTTTAGAACATAGAATATCTTATTACCCTTATGTGCTCTATTCAGCCCACACATGCATATTATGACTGACAGGGGGAGGGAGCGTTTAGCAAAGCAGCATACAGGCCTTAGTGAGAGGGGACATCCCACAGTCTCTGTTCAATAATATCTTTCCTCTAGGGTTGTTTGTGTGTGTGTGTGTGTGTGTGTGTGTGTGTGTGTGTGTGTGTGTGTGTGTGTGTGTATGAAGGTGTGAAAAATCAAGCAGAGTGTGTGTCTGTGTTGGTCTATGTGTAAATAAATGTGTGTAAGTGAATGAATGAGTCAATTCTGCACCTCCTTCCCCAGTCAGCCAGACAGGATTCAATTAACACAACTGGGATGGAGTCTGTCCCAGCTGTGCCCCCCCCCGCATGCATGCGCACACTCACTCACACTCACACTCACACTCTCACTCTCACACACACACACACACACACAAAGCCTACCCCTATTCTGCATAATCTGGCTGCCCGTGCTGCAGGGGAAGGGAGGGTTAATTGAAGTGATCTCTATCATAGTGTGGATGGATGGGACAGGGAATAAGGACCAGGGGCCTTTTGTACGTTTATGTGTGGGTGTGAATGTGTGTGTGAGCCGGGGCCTTATTAAGATTGTATCATTATTTCACCCAGTCACTCAATCTGCTCCTTATGCATAATATGTTTATATCATTGTAAGCAGGAGGCCCAGAGGGAAGATCTTGTTATTCCTTTGTGGGGAGCCCCCTAACTCTCCAGCACCCTTAAGCATGTGCCCTGATCACTGCTCTTATATGTTGAATAGATATAAAACGAGCAACACACAATGGAACATAATGAAATGAGAAAAGGAGGAGTGGCATTTGGGGAAATAACATTTGGAAGAGAGGATAAAGGCAGAAAGTGGAGCACAGTTTCCTGAAAGAGAGGAGGAGGAGAGAAATGTCTCTCATTATGGGACAGAAAGATCTGATATGGCAAATGCCACATTTTTGCTTTTTAGCTTGTAGCTACTATGTGATGTTTTCCTGAACAAGAAATCTAACTTTCCCCTCAGTTTGTAATGCAAAGGCAGACTGAGTGGGTGAGATTGGCTAGTGGCAGATCAAACCAGATTAGTTTAATAAAGGAAAGCACATGTCTCTATTCAGTGTCTGGTCGGCCATATTATTCTACTACTTATTATTCTGTACTTATTTTAATAAGACAAACAGTACTGAGATAACATGTCTGGAGGACATTCCTGGACCAAATATAGCAGCACAAGATCGTCAAGGAAATTATGCATAGATTTAACTCTTTTAAACTGAAACCACAACATTCAGTGAAATAAAGACATAAAAAACAGAGTGGAAATGCCAAGTGTGAAACTGCAGATGCCCTTGAATGAGGACTGAATGTGTTTTTCGTGTCCCCTCCCTTCCTCACTCTTTGCTTGGCCTCCTGACAAATTTTGAGTGGATGGGAGTGATTTTTTTTTTTTGGTCTGTCAAAGATAAGGCGCCCTTATTACTGGGCCTGAAAAAATGAATTAACTTCTGTCTTCATTATCTTATCTCTGATTCGAATCAGTTCCCTAATCCATTCCACCAGCGCCTCGTACTCCAAGCCTGTTGACACTTGCTGCCGCTGACATTTAATTTAGGCACCATGCACTTGCGCTTGGTGGGGACAGCGGCTGCTTGCTTAGCTACTGGACACCATGTTGACAAAGCAGACATGTTTTATCAACCGGACTCATTCTGGTTGGCATGATGGACAGTCACTCCTCATGACGCACAAAACACCTTCCATAATGTGTTTGTCTGTCACTCTGCATGAAAGCATTTGTGTATTTAATGAGTGAGAAAAATTTTGTGCATTTGTTTCCATTTGATTACCTGTTAATAAATGTGTATATTCAGATCTTTCCTTGTACTATGAACTCTACAAGCAGTATGTGTGCGAGCATATAAACTCATGTGTCTCTATTGTACGTTTTGAACACTAATCCACTTAAGAAAGTAGATGACATTTGACGACACATTAGATTTTATCTCAAGCTCTCTCTGCACATAAGAGATAAATTCCAGGTGTTGCTGTGTTGTCGGTCACTTCCCTGTCTCACTCTGCTTCATTCCCACCCATCTTGTGGTTTTGGTGTGTGTATGGTGTTCCTGTCAGTCAAGGACTTGCACAACTACATGGCTAGAAAAGTCCTTTGACCAAATTGTCACTTACATAGTTTTGGAGTTTATGACAAAAATGTGGAGGTGTGCTGAGAGGGCATCAAAAACAGCTACATATATAGTAAACAGAGGGACAATGGGTGGTAAAGAAGAGAGAGAGAGGTAGGAAAGTAAAACACTAAAGAAAAGTCCAACACTTATTATCAGGCCTTTGTGTTTAGTGTGAAAATGCTTTCTTAATGTGCGAGAGACACATATCAGCATTGTGTTTGTGTATATTTGCTGTAGAAATAGAATGAAAACAACCGTACCTTTCTTTAAATAAAGAACATGTGAATCTCTTCAAATAAAAGATGTAATCTATCAATTACAAGCTCCAGACAGACGTCTTTGAAGATAGCTATCTCTTTTTTTTATTATTTCTTTCTTTGTGAGATCTAAAACTTTACAAACCCTTTGGATTTCTAAAACTTCTAACTTTGAAATGTTATTAAAATCTCCAACACATTTCTGTCAATGTTAATTCAAAGATTTTTTTTGAAACTTGCATACAATGGCTGCACAGCTCACAGATAAACACAAACCTAAAAGAAAACATACTTTAACGTTTTGTTACAGTTATGAATCAGTTTAATGCAGGTTGTCCACATTTAAAAAAATACAGTAACAGCCGTACCTGATAATGAGCCAACATGTTCAGTCTCTTCCAGTCACCTTCAATCTTAGTGGTGACATCCTCGTCCTGCAGGATCATGCGCTGTCCTCTACCCTGGCGCCACTCTGGAGAAAAAAAATTAAAAAAATCAAAATGGTCAGTATAGTACACTCCATATATCCATCCATACCTTTACTCTTATTTGTTTGATCCGTTTTCGCCCTTTTTCTGTGCATCTGTCAGATCTCAAAACCTTGCCATCTTTGGGGTCCTGACATGCTTTTGGGAAAGAATTGATAGATTTTGGTGGTTGTGCTGCAGTTGGGTTTTCACTTTTAGGAGACGGTTGTGTTTTTCAGTTTATTAGCCACAACAACAAGAGTTAAGATGGATAAACAGTTCTAAAATCCTAAGGGTATGTTTGCAGTGGCAATGAATACGTTTAAGTTATAATGTAAAATAAATAGTGTTGTGTTAGATTGTGTGTTGGCTTAGATAAAAACATGAACAATATTAACAACATAGAAAAAAAAAAGCAGAAGAAAGCGTCACTCTTTTCTAATCAGTGTGCCTTTTTAGAAAATGAGTTGCCACTATCTCCATCTTCATCTATTGAACTTTTTCTTTGCTTTCTTCAGAACAATCATTTCATATTGGAAAAGAGATGTAGAACCAAAAGAGCAATCACACACATGAGAGACAGTAACAAGAGGCGAGTTAAATTAATCACCCACTTTACTTTTTTTTTTTTTTTTTTTTTTTTTAGAATGAAGCTCCCCCCTCTTTGCTCCTTTCAATCTCTTTCACTGATGCGATCGATGGGTGCGATTACAGCTGTATGCTCAGGGCTTGTCCACTTCCTTTTCCATCAGCAGCACAGGCCCTTATGCTGTGCTCTCTGAAGACACCACAGGTCTCTGCTCTCCTCTTGTCAAAGCCCTTTCCACTGCTCTAAGACCCCTGTCAAGGTGCTCTTATTGTTATTGCTGGGAGCTTTGGTAAAAGCAGACCAGACTCAGCCCACCCCAACACTAAATGAAGAAACTAGTGAGCTGCAAATATGAAATAACATCTATACTCAAAGACTGCAGATCACCTAATTTCCATACTTTTCAACAAGCAACTTCCACTGCACATGACAGTGTCTTTCATTTAAACAAGAGGACGGCATTTACATGACCTTACAACCAAATTACATCTACACTACATATACACCAGGCTTCCAACATCAGCACAAAACAAACCAAAGGCTTTGATATAAACATCTCACAATACCCTAGCAACATTATCATAAGTGAAAGAGGAAAGCCATCTCAAAAACAAACAAGCACGATTCCTCCTTTCTTTTTGTAGACATCATGTGCTGTATGAATACGTTATTGTCTCGGTGCTCCTTGCTGTGTTTCCCACTTGTGTCGGCCACTGTCATCTCCTATCCTGATCACAAACAGGAAAACAAAGCAGCAATCACTGTGGTGTATGATGAGGCCTGTCTTTGGAGGATCGACCAGAATTGTGTTAGCATCTGAAAAATCTGCAGGAAATAAAGATCCTCCTGTTGTTTTTGTCTATACAGTACATCTTCCCATAAAGATGCAAATGAGCCCCCGTCTCCAGTTGAGGCTCAGTAAACAGATGAAGAAATGAAGAGAAAAAGGAATAAATAAAAGAATAAACTTGGTGTGAAACCAGAGCAAACTGAGATTACTCTGATTCCCAAATCCAGTGGTCTCTACTCAGTAGGAAGACAACAGCAACACAACAGTTTGTGTGTGTGTGTGTGTGTGTGTGTGTGTGTGTGTGTGTGTGTGTGTGTGTGTGTGTGTGTGTGTGTGTGTGTGTGTGTGTGTGTGTGTGTGTGTGTGTGTGTGTGTGGACTTGCTTTGTGGACTCAAACACAGCAAAGGAGATAAGGGCTTTGGGGAATGTATGGAAGCTCATGGTGAAGAGAAAGGCTGAAGGTGACTGTTGTATTCCACAGAGATGCATGACACACATTTGCTACTGGCGTCACGCACACACAGTGACACAAAGACACAAAGACACAGACACAGGGCCTGGTTTCTTTGTTCTCAGGCCCTATCTCCTCTGGTGCCCTGTGGAGGACTGTGAATTGCCGCAGAGGGGAATTAAAAACAATACCTGGGATAACAACACTCCTGGCCAATCCGTCTCAGGACAGGCCTGCCACAATCCCATTATCCCTATCAGCCATTGCTATCAGTCCGTGTATATGTGTTTGTATGTGTGAGGGTGTGTGTCAGAAATCATAAGAGCTGCTGGTATCACCTGTGTACGTAGAGCTCCTCTCTTCAAATTAAAAAGTGTGTCAAAATAACAAAACAATAAATCAACATAAATACCACAAGACCAAGAAATAATAATAAAAAAACTACATGTGTGAAAGGATATGTCAAACATGCTCTCAGTCTGCTCATGGACTCATGATTAAGAAAGAACATTCCTCTAATCTGTGCAGAAACATACTGTAAATATAGCACTGAAAAACAACATTTAATTTCATGCACATGTTTTCTTCTGAGCTTGCATTTACTCATTCTCTCTTTCATACTCACAATCACAAACATACAGAGCGAGTGGCCAGCTACTTCTGACAATTTTCACTTCCCTTTTGTAATAAAACAATAATAGAACAACACATCCTGCCCAAAGGGGGGCCATGAAACAATTTTATCCAGGAGTGTCGTCAAAAGGCTAAACCAATCTCTTCACTTAGCTATCACAGTCAGATTCCCTACGGTACGCACTCAGCCCATCTTAGATCTGGGGTTGGTTATAAATATGCTATTCCGAACACACAACAGGGGCTTGGAAAATCCATCTGGCAATATTAAACCATAAAAAGCACAGTGCACGGTGAAGAGACAGCCTGTAGGTATTGGCAGACAAACAATCATGGATAACACTGTTATGCGCACACACACACACACACACACACACACACACACACACAGACCCACCCAACCCCTTGATCACTAGATATCTTGCAGAGAAGGTATATCACTGCACATTAAAGTAATTTGCAAATATATTAGACTCATGTTGAAATACAATTATATAACCCAGGAAAAATAACTACATACTGTAGCTGCCAATAGATGTCATCAGTGGCAACAAGGTCCTGTATTCATATAGAGAGTCAAATCAAGTCCTTCCTACACATACTATCTTACTCAGAAAGAAAGAAAGAAAAAGAAAAAGAAAGAAAGAAAGAAAGATAGAAAGAAAGAGAGAAAGAGAGAAAGAAAGAAAAAGGATTTGGTAGGGAAGACATCACTGAGCGTCTCAATTGATTAGCTGATCAATCATCTGACTCAGACACCAGTCAACAAGAGAGTCGATCGATGGGAAGTTTGGGGAGGGGAGAGACCGGACTCAAACATCTGAGCCAACAGAGCCAGGAAGTCAACTCTCCCGAGGTTGAAAAGAAAGCTACCTCTCTATATCTAAGAGGACTTGTACTTTTTAAGAAGGGCTGGGTGGGGTGGGGAAGCCTTTGGAAAAATCAATGGGCGTCTGAGTTCAGTCTGCTTTTCTCCAGGCACATGGGTAGGAAACACTGAATGGATAGAAATGTTTCAACAAGCTGTACAATATATATACAAGAGTAAAACCTCTCATGAACTACAACCCTGAAAAGTGGAATTATAAATGTCCTATTATCAGCTGTAAAATATATGAAGAAGGGCAAAACTCATTTCATTTGTCTTACCCTGCATCGTAAACAAAATGTTCCAGTAAGCTGAATCCCAAAGATGACTGTTTGCCTCCTTTTTAAACATTATTATTTATATACAACAAGACAAAAACTCATACCCAGGTCCATGTCAGAGGCCTTTAGGCGGTGTGAGTGTGGGACGTTCTTGTAGATGGCATCCAGGATCTTCTCCTTCACCTGACTGATGGTGTCACAGTTCAGCACTTTAACCTGGATCTCTGGGCTCTTCTCATTCTCCGGATGGATGCAGTTCACCACCTGTAGCAGAAATATGCACAAGGCTGCCACTGTGAGGGGAAACTAGCTGCAAGGTGTGTGTTCACTTTTGTTATTTTTAAAGACGGCTTCTTTCTGGTCATCTATAGGTAAGATTTCTTGCAATATTTGCTGTAACTGTAACAGAAAAGAAAAGTTACATATTTGGACATTTTCCAGGTTGATGAGAGGATAACACGTTCTATATATAAAATGCGTGCTGGTTGAGGTTTGTGTGTTTTATATTAATAAGGTTGATTGCACTGTAGCTTGGTACTCAGTGGAACTGCAATGATTTTCTGCCAAAGGGTCTGAGAATTGCAGCAAAAGAAAAGATTGTTCACCAGGGAAACTTCTATCTGAATTGATTAGCAGTAAACAAGCTAATTATAATATTATTATCATATTCATCAGTTCTGTCAGTATCGCCTTCTGGTGTTGGTAGAAATACCTGAATTACAAGGTGGGCACAAATACACATATTATAAATGAGAGGATAAATGCTTAATCTTTTATGTATGCACTATCCCATATAAATATACATATATGTACATGCATATATATATATATATATATATATATATATATATATGCAATTCAAGCTTTCATTTTAATATTCTAAGTGTAGTAACATGTCCACATTGTGGGAAATGTGATAGTGAATGGAGTATTGGAGATTCTGTTGCAAAAGGCTAAACCTGAAGCAAATTTCTAGGATGTTTTTCCCCATCACAGTTCACCATGGACATTTGACAGAGTATGCAAATCAGCGCTCTCAGGATGTAGACTACAAATGGATGTGACACTTGAAAAGAAAGACGGAACGACTAAACAGCATCTGAGTTTCCCCTGCTGAAACTAACACATCACAGCGGAGAGAGGACAACAACAGACAGACTCTGGGAATAAATGAGAGGTTCCAGAAGGACAGACTTTTATCGCCTCTCTGCTTGTGCAGACATATACACATGCATAATCTCTTTCCTTCCTCCTCATCCCGGAGCCCTGCTCTTTTCTTTGACAGCTCCAGTCTCAACAGGAAGTGAGGTCGCCACTCCTGTGCCCCTTGCATGTCAAGCGTAACAGCGACAACTTTATGTCCCGTTGCACATCTCATGACCGACAACCCATAACCACCCTTTTTCTCTCCTCTTGTCCCTGAAAGCATATTAAGTGTCCCCCTTTTAGCCCTTTTAGCCCAAGGACCCCTGGGCAGGTGAACCCCTTACCAGCGTCTTGTAGTCAATCTGTTGTCTGATGAGCTTGTCCTCACTGAGTGAGTAGCGCGCCTCTCCTGTGATGGAGTCAATGGGGCCTTTCTCCATCTGCTGCTTGATGGCACAGAAGAGGGAGAAGAGAGGCTCGCCTGCACACTCCTGAAAAGAGATTTGAAGAGAGAGGAACAGACAAAAAGTTTGGAGGGAGTGAGAAAACTTTGAAGCCATTTCTGCAGTCAACTCACTGACAGCATAGTTTAATAATGTCTGAGAAAATATCTATCTAGAGTGTTGTAGTTGCTTTATCAAATGTTTTTTTCCACACTGCTTCGCCTCCAAAGTTGCTGAGCAAGACTTATTTAACACTATGTCCCAAACTCTATCGTTCCCCTAAATTAAAGAAAATTGTACCACCTATGGATACATAAACTTTGCTGAAATGAAGCAGAGTTTGGGAAAGGTTTGACGGATAAACTGTGAAAAATGCCATAAAAGCCACCCCCGCCTTCCTGCCCAAAAAACACTGCTGTTTATCAAACTGAAAAGATTGGCCTTCTGTCATTTTTTATTCTCCTACCAGCTGCAGTGAAGGGATGGGTCGAGGGATAGAGGAGAAAAACAGGATGACGGTGAAATTTTCTCGACTCAAGGCTAGAGAGGAGTGGTGGTTTTACTTTTGGCGAATATTGGTGTCCTATGAAGTAAAAAGTACTTCTCTGCAACTTCTATGGCACACTGGCATGTTAGCATAGATGCTGGTTATAATATAACGATTGATTCTCAAACAGATGATAAACCTTTAGGTACAATTAAGGAAGGATGACTTGTTTTTAATCAAGACTAGCAGTTGCAAAAATACTTTTTGAATGTTGTGGAAATAACATTTTTTGATTGGAAGCCCAGAACATGAATCGATTATATGCCCTGTAGTCTAGTTAGGTTCATTAATGTTTACCAAACATACAGGTCTGCTATGATGCAAAGTCTGCATTACTACAATTAAGAAAACCTTCAGGGCATAAAAAATGCATGTACAATGAATGGATTCCCGACATGCTCAACTGCTCTTGTATCCACTCAGTTTTAAAAAATGTAAGTAAAAAACATCACCATTAACTATCAGTGACGCCAGCAGTGAGATGACAGTTTCACCATGAGATCTATACTGAAATTATGCACGTGACTGAGGCTAAAACTAAAAACCTTTTTTCCCCAGAAGTTTAAAATCTTCAGGATAGTTAAAAAACATTTATGGAGTTACCTTCAGAAACTTGTAGAGGAGGAACGTAAACCAGTTGGTCAGCATTTTCTCTGCTACAGACTCAGTCCTGCAAACAGACAGACGCAAAGCATATAATGAACATATGATCCCCCACACTCTTATTACCATCACAAATATTCGACACCATCATCAAACATTCTGCTAAAATTGGTGACCGCTGCTAATGAATAGGCTTTCGTTACACAAACATAATTGCAAAGACATGAATCGAGAGAGCCTTTGCACATGCTATATGATGGCCTTTCAGACAATCTTTCAGCTGGCTTTTATGCTCAGGCACGCCAAGGGCAGCTTGCCTATGGTGGCGGGGATTTTAATATGAGGCAAAGCAATTAAAAGCCCTTATTTGATCCCCGTGGATTGATGTCGTTAGGGGCTGGAGCGGCTCTGTAATAACACTGGCCTCATTATCAAGCGCTCCCTAGCCTATTCACTGGACTAACACTCGATCCGTGCACAATAGAAAGTGAATGAATACATCTCCCTCTCTTTCTCCGCCTGGCATCCATGCTCCACTGGTGTGGCAAAATGGTGTGTGTCTGCGTTTGTGTGTGTGTCAGTCTGTGTGTATGTGTTGACCCGGGCCAACAGTGTGAATGATCCCGTGTGAATGACTAATATGCATACATAATAACAACAGCGGTGGTGGCGAGGGGAAAGGGAGGAGAGGCGAGGATCGGATATCCTTTGACAGCAACCTTCTTGGCCAGCAGCAGGGGTGTGTGGGTAATCTGTCAGAACACCTCAAACACACACACCCCCGCACACCCCTCCCTCTGCTTTCAATGAGCAACTACCATAGGCATCAATATTTCAGGATTAGTGTCCGTTGTGCCTGTGTCTGTGTGTGCGCGCACGCGTGCACATAGGTTTTGTCCCGAGTGTTTTCGGCTGCCACCTGCAGCCCTCCCACCCCTTACTATTCAGCCTCTTTAAGGGGCTGCACACTGAGGCGTGAGGGAGGGGGGGCTCGATGTCTGCTCTGCCAGTAGGCTGGCCTGGCACCCCCTGCCAACACTGGCACAACACCTGGGGGGGATTAACTTCCTGCCTCACACTGTGCCCGCACTTTTATTTTGCCGCCCCTCTCGCCCCTCCTCCGTCCACAGATCCAAGGGTCAACAAGGTCACTTTTCATCTTTTCTTTCAAGTGTCCTTGCTGTCTTCCTCCCTCCCTCTGGCTGCCCCATTCTGGATCTTGTAATCATACACACTTCCAAATTCTCTCCATTTCCACAAATGTAGCCTATCAAAGGGATAAAAGGAGCATGGAGAAAGGGGGTGGTATACGGGGAAGGAAGGAGGGATCAGTGAAAAAGGAAAATGAAAAAAGAACAAGAAGAAATGGTTGACTGAGTCTAGCCTTCCCTTTTTTCTTCTTCAACTTCCTTTTCCTTAGTCGCTTCCAATAGATAGTGTTTTTGTGTGTGTTTGTGTAACTGGACAAGTGTGAGGCTATTTTAAGGCTAGCATGCAAAAAGCACAAATTAATCCCACTGTGTATGTGTTCAGAAATTAATATCTCTGCTGACTAGTGTTTATTGTGTGTGTGTGTGTGTGTGTGTGTGTGTGTGTGTGTGTGTGTGTGTGTGTGTGTGTATGTGTACTCCTGGCAGTGGGTGCCAGCCCTGCAGTAATAAGAAGTCTTGGCACAGGCCAGTCTATCGGGAACAAGGATAAAAATAGCGATGTGATCGAGCTTTAAGATCTAACATGAGCGTGTGGTATTACAACTTCCAAACTATCTTCTTCCAAACCTCTCCTCAGCTGCTATTCAAAACACAAATCAACCTATGTTTGGGTTAATGCAATGAAATGTTCTGTGACGTGTTGGCATGGTCAGGCTTGCCTACTTGGCAGCCAGTCAGAGGGGCAGTGGGCATTGAGATGATCTAGAGCAGAGGGAACCTGGCAGTGCTTAGTTTCCCATGATTGCTGAGGTAGGGTTGAAGGGAATCTGTGTTTCATCACACATGTTTTTGTGCATCTGTATGAAATGGGCACATAAGACTTTCTGGAAAACTGATGTGATGTGAACATAAAATCTGAATCAAGAAAGCCATAACAAAATTCTATGTAATCCTGCTCTTCTCCCCATCTAATCAAATCAAACTGCCTTTCTTTCCTTTGCTGATATTTATTTGGTTTCAAATGATCCCTCGCTGCATCAGAATAATAAGGCAGCAACTCATTTTCTATTATTTGCAGTTAATTTGCAGATTAATCGTAAGAAGTGACAAATTCAAACCACAATTTCCCACAAAAGAACCAATCATAAATTGCTTATTTTGTCTAACGAACAATTTCACACATTTAAAAAGCTGGAACCAGAGAATGTTTAGCTGTTTTGTCTGACAGATGACTCAGACAGTTTATCAATCATCAAAATTCTTTCACCATGATTTCATCAATTGACAACATACTGTCTTTAATAAGAGGCCCTTTAATTGTGTCTTTGAGATCAATCATAAATATCAAGTTATTTTCTCAAACATAAAACCAGAGTGGTTAGAGGGAAAAAAAAGTCACTTAAGGTTCTTTTTGTTGCAAAAAGCAGCGATGGCAGTTGTTTTAATCAAACATCCAGTTGGGCCTGAGAATCTCACCTGGTTTCAGTCACATGTTAATGTTAATGTTAATGTTCCATTTCCCTGTCTGGCTCCTGATGACAGAGTGTCACAGTGAGGGCTAGCTGCTGACACCGACAGTTATTCCATCTATTGCTCTCACACAAACAAACACAAATCTTTTAACAGTGATTATCCTCATAGTTAAAGGAGGAGACGTTTAGCTCTGTGTGATGATTGTGTGTCCGTGCTGGAGCCAAAGCAAGGTTGTGATCAACACGAGAACATATTGTGCTTTCATCTCTTGACCGATATCAAAACTGTTATTTTGACGCATCAACTATAGCCAAACAAAATTTAAGGCACTGGAAAGGCTGTTTTAACTCTGCATGATGGGCAGGCGGCATGGTGGTGAGGGGAGGCAAGAGAGAGATGGAGGAATGGAGGGATGAGAGGAGTTAAAGGAGGAGAATGCAGCGAGGAATGTGACAGATGGTTGCGGAAGGCTCTCGTTAGTTAGCTTGCCTGGTGGTAGTGCTTCAGCACAGGTTGAGATGGGACAGATGGAAGGATGTGTGTTTGTGTGTGGAGAGAGAGGAAACAGACACACACATGTCCACACACATACACAGATTTCTTGGAAGAGGAGGCAGTGGGTAGCCAGAGGCACCCTGCTCATGCACTTTAAGCATTGATTTGGCAATCAAGAAAACAGAGGATGGGGAAGAGGAGGGTAGGAAGAGCCTGGAATATAGATTGAGAGAGAGAGTAGAAGAGAGAAAGCGATAAAGATAGCGGCAGCGTGACACAAGTGGCAGAAGCAACAGAACTGAGAGCAAACAGAGGATGAGAGCAGTGGAGGGGAAACACATAAAATGAGCAAACATTGTGAAAGAAAGAAAGAGAGAAGAGAAAGACAGAATTAAAGAGAGAGAAGGAGAGAGGGAGGGGTGCTATCTTTCCTAGACCAGATTAGGCTTCATCTTCACAGCCTTGTTTCTGTGTATCTGGGCTATTTTCAGCTGCTATCCAAGGACACGCCAGTCAGCCCACACTATGGGGTGGCGTAGCTCGCTCCCACTGCCTCATCACATCTGAAATGCATGCTGGGATGCTGAAAGACTAATAAGCACATCCGAGGAGGAAGAATGAGATGAAGACAGTCTGATATGTGCCCATCACAACCGTGTGTATGACAAATGGGCAATCAAACTGGGCATGCATTGGTTGTAAACATGTGCTCCGCCTCGAGTGCTGGCTGACTGAGATGGCGTTTTCCCCAGGTTTTCCCTCTCTCTCTCCCTTGATGACAAGCAAGAGGCAGAAGAAGAGAAGGAATGTGGAAAAAAAAATGTGATAGAAGACGATGTGTTGTATTTGGACTGTGTTTAAAAGAACAGTTGTTGGTCAGTCCCCTGCAGCAGTTCAACTGTTTCCTTGAAAATCTCATCCTAAATTCACAATCAAATCAAAGTGTGACATGAGATAAGCCAACGATATCTGTGTGTAGCACTTACAAGGCTCTGGTGACATGTATGATCAGTGATCAAAGAGCTGATCTCACTACCAGCCTCCGTGCCCCAGTAGTCAGCTTTCCTCACTGGGTGACACAGCTTTGAGCGTCTCCACTGTCCTTGACTACCTCTCCCTGTCTCTGCTGAATGCGCCATCTCTTATGTTGTATCTACTGCCAGGATCAGCGGTTACTCCATTGTTTAGTGGCTGCACCATGCTCAGTGAGCTCTGGCTGCAATTAATCATGCCTCCTGCCTGGACAGCATTAATCTCTCTCTGCATCACCAAGTAGAGTCTAAACAGGTTTTCATGAGGTGAATATGTGCACTGTCTTCTGGACGGTATGATGAACAGCCTTCATTTCAGTCCTCTCTGCATATGCTTGTCGTGTTAATGTGTGTCTCTTCACTGGCAGAGATGTTTTTGGGTTTTTTTTGTTTTTAGCCAGAGGGAGAATCAGAATTTTAATCGAAATGAGACGGACAAATTAATTTGAAACATGCCTCTCAAATCATCGGGGGTTTTCAAGACTTGACTGACAACCCTCAAACAAAACAACATACAATGCAATGTGCTTACATGTATAGACATGCATGCTCCCAACAGCTGCAAGGAAGCCGGTTTATTCAAGTAACCATAATCATCACATTTACCAAACACCGTGGGCAGGAAGCATAATCACATACAGTGCTGTGTTCAAGTGCATGCCATTAAAGCTTTGACTACAAATCCAAGGGAGGATTGTGATTGTGCCAGAGTGTGAGCTTTTCACAGTTTCACTCTCTCCCTTTTTTTTATAAATGAGTGTTTTTTTCCTCTTGAGCTATTTGAAATTGGATTCCCTGCTAATTAATCATAATTATTTTGCTAATGATGTGCATGGCAATGCACTCTGGTGTCTCTGAGACAGAGCCAGCAATTCAAGGTCACGCGAGTTAATCCAAACATGTCACAGATAGGGAACACTGAGTAGCATATCCAGTCCTTGATAGTAAAGGGTTTACATAAGCAGTACAAACCTTTATATCTATCCCACGCCAAGCACAATACATGCCTTATTTTAGAGAAGTTGAATGTGTGGAAGCTGGTCGGTGTTTCAATATTTAGTGTAGGGGCTCTGACTTTATATTAGAGAGATAAACAAAAAAGGAAGATGGCTTAGACAGCACCTTTTTGGCCCAGAATATGCAGCAAAGCAACTACATCAAAAACTGTCACTACCAGCTACTTGTAAGACAGTAACAGCAGTAAAGTTAACCTTTTTTGTGTCTGCTTCCTACCTGCGGAGCAGCAGTTTGGGGTGGTTCTTGCTCTCAAGGTTGCGGTCTATGAGGTCAGACAGGAGGTGCTTTAGGACATCAGTGGCATACTCCAACTTGCTCTGCAGCACTGTCATTATAAGTGAGGCCACGTTGCCCCGGTCCCTCATGGAGAAACCACGCTGGGCCTCCAGAGTGCGAATAAAACACAGCAGGAAGACCTTGTTGTTAATGAGCTGGCCGAAGAGCTTCAGTCCTTTTTCTACTTGCTCTTGGCGGTAGCCAGGCACCTATGAGGAAACAGAAGAAATGTTCACTTGACTGGAACACATTAAAAATAACAAAAAAGGGAAAAAGTACAGATTCTATGCCACGCAAAATCTTTAGCATTAATGACATAGGTCTATATGCCATTCATGGCAATGACATGTAAACCTAATTAGTCATAGGTTCATTTGAATGTAATATTAGCTATCTGCCTACCTAGTTGATCAAATGGTTTATTTATGACAGTAATTACAGTAACATCAGGATACCTGTAAAAACAGGTTTAAATTACTATATAATCACAATAAATATTATTTTCAGATCAAGTTTATAAAGTGGTAAGAAACGGAAAGATAGAAAGAAAAAGGAAGAATCTGTGCAGACGAGGAGTTTAACAACATCCAGCCTTTGTTACGTTTAGTGTGAAGGTTGAGAGTAAAGACAGGAAAACACTAAGCCTCTGGAGGGAATGTTTATTACTTTGATGGTGCTGTGTTCCACACTAATGCAAGTTGAAAGGGAGTGCAGTGATGTGAATTCCCCTCGTCTGAGCCCAGATTGTCCCTGCACCATTTATACTAGTCACTTGCCGCACATGCTTGTCTTATTTTTTTTTCATATATAGCACCTATGGAGATTATGTTTCGTGTTTTTTTTTTTAATCTGTCAAGAGCACTCGTGCTAAGACAGCGTCTCTTTGCGCCCAATGCAGCTGTCAACCAGCATATGTTCTGTCTTTTTACCTTTCCTGGAGGAGCCCCTTGTAATCTGCCGGGAGCTATTGTTAAGTTGCAAGTCTAATTTCATACCACTTGACAAGATGTGTACAGCATTTGTGTTTGCACATGTGTTTTAGCACTTGCCTTTTTTGTGCATGTGCAGTATGTGAGTGTGTGAATACAGGCGCACATGGAAATCTGGGAAAACTCTGAACCGTGTGTGTACATGTTCATGTTTTTAGCCTTCTTTTGTATAAACCCCAATGTACAGTGAACATTTTATGTGTTGAAGACTCGACAAATATATTGTGCAGTGCAATAACACAGTATGTTTTAACTTGTCTCTTAGGATTATAGAGAGACAGTGCATAAAAACAGAAAAATGACCTGACCTACACACAATCTCCATGGGAACCCTTTAATATTTGAGTTGACAGGTGGAGCAGTAAAATGACAAGGACTGCTGAAACTGAATTGTTTCCGTAAAGATCAAGAGGGAAGTGGGAAATATAATAGCAGGAAAAAAAATCATACAAAAGCAGAAAGCAAAATGGGATTCTGTGTAAAGTGAAATCGTTGGGAAAATAGAGGGAAGGAAGTGATTTTGACTGCTAAGAATAAACCTCAACGGTTACAAGGAACAAATAAAATGTCAAAAGGCAGACTCTAGTGAGCTGACACATGCCAGACTATATTTTAATATCTTTCTGTATGTAATTCTCACTTTAACTGAGTGCCTAGGAAGTTGAATATTTCATTACTGAGTAAACTTCCCATGGATTCACTAAACCTAGACAGACTTTCCATCACCTGTGCTATTTCTAACCGTCTCCAGCTACACAGTCAAAAACTTGACTTTAAATTCTCCGACACATCAATAACAATTAAGCAGTTATCACCCGCCTAAGACAAGCCTGCTGCTTTCTTCATTAGGCTCCTATTCCACATTATACTCCTCATACAGTTAGACATTTATACCAATTAAAACATAATTAATATTGCTTATTACTGGGAAATTTTCATCAGGGATAGAGTGGCCAAGCCTGAGGGCAGTGAAATGGGGGTCCATCATTCTCTTAATGGACAAGACGACCTGCTCAATTACGGCTGTCTATCAATGTCACCACGAGGGATAAATGACTGATAAATGATTTTTTTCTTTTGCTTTTCTCCCTCTGATTGAATTTTAATTTGTTTTTGAGGTGGAGAGAGAAAACGGTGCAGCATCTCATATCCTTAGTTATTAATGAGAGCGTGCTCCTGATTTGAGGGCTGCCTTGTTTGTTTTTGAAAAAGTGTGGTGGTCGGTCGTCAAAAGGATTTTGTTTACCAGACAGCAACACAAACAACATCGGCGTCAATTTCACCTACTGTGACCCACCACAATGTTAATTTGCTTGCTCATTTTGCATTTCATTCAAATAAGGCTAATTGCATTGCGATTGTAATTTGATAGAGACTGAAGAACAGGTACACACACACTAGTGCTATTTACACTGTTCAAAAACACAATGTAGTAGGGAACATAACTCTTATATCTGTCCCCACACAACTGATGGACTTCCTATTTGGGGGAAATGCTGTAAATATCTGTCCTCAAGCATGTTGGTGCAGAACCTGAATTTAAATCCTTACGTAAAAAGATCTCCAATTTGAATATCTGTGAGATGCTCTACCGTACCTCCAGGTCTCTCAGTACAGGATGTTCCTCGATGCCTGGGAAGAGGACCCTCATGGTGTAGGTCCTGTAATCCAAGAAGGGGATTCCTGCACCATCCAGATCACTGGTCAGCTCATGGATGTCTGTCTGGAGCTCTGCAAAAGCTGATGGATGAAACACATACACATTTTTTTTTTTTTTACATATATCAAAACAGTTAGCTTATGATAGTATTTTTATGTACCTATAATCTCAAATAGATAATAAGTTAACCTGCCTCAGTCAGATACTCATTTAATCAGTTTCTTATATATATAAATATAAAAAGATGGCCATAGTGGCAGCACTGGATGCTAGCAAAACTTAATAACATAAAACTGTCTGCCACATCAATTTATTCATCATTACTCTGCAAATGCCACTTTTATTTTTGTCATACTTGATTAGCTTCACACAAACATAATCAACTGTTAGAATTATTAACAGAGTTATAAATAGAAAAGACAAAGATAGTGACATTTGACATTTTGATCTGAACGAAGCAGAGTAAATAAATAATTCAAAAGGTTTACAACATTTCCAAGGTATGAAACTGGAGCTATCCTACTGTACATCAGCACCAGCCTCTTACCCTCTTTGCACTCCAGAGCCACACGTGACTCCAGGTTGTCCATCTGCATTTGCAGCCTCTTCAAGGTCAGGTCACTCTCACGAGACTTGCGCTTGTAGGCAATGAGCACCACCACGATGAAGAGGATGAGCAGGGCTCCGGCTGCAGCAATGCCAATGATTGCAGTGCTGCTGAGCGGGCTGTCAGATGTGATGTGGACCACACCTGGGGAAAACTCGATACCACCCACACGTGCCTTGTGATAATGAAAGATAAAGAGGCAGATTATAACTACTGCATGCATGTACTACACATAAATGCACCATTTACTTCCTTGAAATGTTTTCATAGAGAAGGGCCATATGTTAGTATCTCATGTGGATACTTAAAAGATGAGACAAGTAGTTGAGTGTACCAGAGCTACAGTCAGAGAGCAGCTTCATTCAAATATAACTTCAGCAATAACACTTGGAAAATGTTCAATAATTTGACTCTAAGAGAGGGAGAAGTAAGCAGCGATCAAACACAGAAGGAAGTACGGCATTCTTCAAGGAAAAACATATTTCGTCTGGGAATCACTTTCAGGTCTTTAAAACAATTCTTTGTCTTCAAAATAAAGATCAAAGCTCAGGCAGACAGACATATCGATTTGCCATTTCAGAGTGTAAACACTTCTGTTTATTTGTGCATCTACTAATTGTTTTACAGTAATGTGTCCATCTCTTTCTATGACGCTGCATACAGGTGGTAACATCAGGAAGGGCTTTATTCAAAGTGGGCCCTCTTAAAACCACAAATGGAATCTTTATTGAGTTTGCTGGGGCCCTAATTCCTCTTATTGAAGGCTTATTTGTTTGTCTTTTGTCTGCTTGTGGGCAGTAACAGGAACCACACAGCTGATTGGATTAGAGCTGTAGTCTGTCTGGAAATGGACGAGGAGATAGATAGAAAACAACAGAAGGAATGTTCGTCTGTCTGTCAAACTGCCAGTCAATTTGTAGGTCTGCCTGCCTTCTCAACCATAGCCAGCCTATCTGTCGGGTTTGTGTGTGTGTGTGTGTGTGTGTGTGTGTGTCTCGTCTTTGTGGATCACGTGCTGTATCACTCACCAGGACCTTGTGTCGACCAGTCAGGTTGGGGGACTCACAGAGCAGCTGGGTCTCTGACACTGTTAACATGCAGGGTTTCTCTCCAATCAGAACTGTGTAGTTCAGCTTTCCGTTCCCACTGTTGGTTGGTGGAAGGAAGTTCCGCCCCTGCAGGAGAGAAGTCATGCATGATTAGTGATTGTAGTGTCAAAGGGAGGGGTTAGAGGTCAAAGAAGACATCTATACTGATACTGATCAATTACATGAATGACCTGCAATTATTGAACAAAGTGATAGATATGACACGGGTATGAATATGATCACTACAGGCAGAGCACACTATATAAATCATATACTCTCATCATGATACAATTCCACAAACATCCATAAATAATAACACTAGATCGTAAGTAAATATGGATGGATGATATCGATCCTCCTACCTTTAGAATGATAGGTGACCCAGGTTTAAGCTCCAGAACCCCAGACACACTGAGTGCTTCAAATTCAGGATTGGGGTAGTAGATAAAATTGGTGGTGTTGAGTGCCATCAGAGCCTGCACGTCGTCCAGTTTGAAGCCAAACTCGTTGGGTCGTTCAGGCACCTCTTGGTGTCTGGCCAGGCTGATGGGCAGCTCTGGGGCTTGACACAGCATGGATGTAGGACTGAGTACCTGGCACAACTGAGAGAAGAAACACTCATGAATGAGCATATCCTCTGCAAATAAAGTGGAATGTTTAGTGGAAGAAAAAAAATAAACAATACATTTATAGAGAAATATGATTCACATCATTTTTCATGGATGGATCTCAATATACTTCATTCCTAAACTTATGACAAAGTTCCCTATTACCTCATTTGCCTCCTTGTAACTCAACCTCTATCACACTGGATCTTGAAAATGCACCAACTTTACCACATGCCAAGTCATCGCATCAACAGTCATTAATGTGAATCTTTTGAGTCACCGATTTACATTTCACTAAGCCCATCGGATCGCAGACTCAATTCAAACTAGGAGCTCCTCTATTTCAGAAAGTGCAAAGAGAACCTGTTGGAGTGTTTTCCTCAAAGAAAGCCCTAAAATGAGGTGCAGTTAGAGAGCCGGTGCAGTCTCACCACAATCAGGCTTTGATGAGTGAAGATTCAGGAGTGATAACTGGGTCTTACCCTTCCTTCATTTCTAGAAAGACACCCCCACCCTCTCATCACTTCTTTATCCCCTGCCCCAGTATTCCTCCCTGTGATCTTCTCTTCTGTCAGTGACACACTCATTCACTCACTCATTTTTCTCCATACCACTTTCCCACTCAATTACACTGTCTCATACATTTTTTGTGTCTTGTCTCACTCTTGTTTTTTATTCTTTGTCATAGCCATGGTCTCTCATTTGACATGTGAAGTGATTTACATTCTTTAAATTTGTTCTTTTTTCACATCTCAAAGTCAGCTTTGTAAACAAGGACAGATTGTCCAATTGGTCATTGTCATGTCACACGCCCTTCAATATCTCTCTAACGTCTCCATTTCTCTCTATCTGTCAGGGCGTTGACAAATCAACCACTTGCACGGGTTTTATTCAAGACATTTCTGTCTCATTCACAGCCATTTCACATTTCCACAGTAACCCCTGCCATGCAGCCACTCAAACTATTGCCTGTCAGTCTAATTGGCTCCCGGAACATCGAACTTGACAAATCCAGCAAGGCCTTCAGGACATCACTGACATGTATCCTGTACTGCTGCTGCAGGAAGGTACGTGATTGTAAACAATATAAAAAAAAAAGAAAAAAGAAAAATCCCTCCCCCTGTCCCTCCTGCAACAATGTTGTTTGAAATCGCTTGGATTTTTTATTTTTCTGTTTCATCTCAGTTTCCCTCTCACTCAGTGTAAAAACGGAGCTACGTAAGAAAGGGGTGGGGCAGATTATCTAATGGCACATATTATTTATGTTGGTTAAAAGTACATGCTGAAAGTGAAGCCCATTAAAGGGACATGTGAGCACAGATGTTAAACGTAGTGCAAGCTCATGCTCAAATAGACCGTGAAGATAGCATTACTACCTTTTGTTACTCCCTCTTCTTTCAATCAGATCACAGAGATCCTTGTATGGCTTTATCTACCCTCCCTTGGGTAAAAGGGTGAATAGACGATAAAAGAATTGGATAAGGGCCAATCTCTGTGGTTTGTAGTTCAGTGTCAAAAAGTCCCTATTGTTAAAAAGGTGTGGAGAGGAATTGCATCATTCTCTTGTAATTCAACTGCAACCTGTTGATTTTGACTATGCCCTTTCTGTGTTTTTCCTTCACCCATTTACCTAGAAGTGGCATTGAGGAATTTAGACATGCTCTAGAAAAAAAAAAATTACTGACATTTACAATGGCTGACTTCCCTCGCTATCAAGGGATATTAGGTATTCAGAAACACTGGTGGTGGTGCAGATAGTTCATCCTGTTCATTTAATTCAGTCAGTCAGTTTACATTATTTTGACTGCTGCACCAAAACAAAACACGTATTAAACAAATTTCCAAATATTGAAATCTCATACATATACAATACAATACAATACACATTTACAATGGCTGACTTCCCTCGCTATCAAGGGATATTAGGTATTCAGAAACACTGGTGGTGGTGCAGATAGTTCATCCTGTTCATTTAATTCAGTCAGTCAGTTTACATTATTTTGACTGCTGCACCAAAACAAAACACGTATTAAACAAATTTCCAAATATTGAAATCTCATACATATACAATACAATACAATACAATACAATACACAACAACATAAAACATAAGTACATACAAACAAAAAAACAAAACAAAACTACAAAGCAAATAATTTTACCAAAAATAAAGCACAAGGCAGTCAGTTTTACTATCACATTGTTTGTGTTGTTATTACTTACATTGAGTGTCTCATGGCCATTGTATTTGGCTCTGATGAGTGGTGTCTGAATGATGTCCAGGTTAGTTCCTGTCACTGTCACTGGGGTGTGTCCACTGTGAGAGAGAAAAATGATTGACAACAAGGTTAAAGGAATACTTCAGACTATTAAGGTGATATGAATTACTCACTGGGAGTGATATTGATGTATGGACATTAGATCAGACTGCTGAGGCAACATTTTGATGTTTTTTGTGAATTGGCCTTATTTGCTGGTCATTTTTGTCATTCTTTCTGACAAGCGCCTGCTCTGGTGGTTTTATCTCCATCCACAGGATCCATAGAATCCCTCACTATCTGACACCAGCTGAGTAACATGCAACCTGTTGTCAAAAAAGTTAGTTAACCCTAAATGGTCCCTTCTAACATACCTGTAGATGCTCCACTCAGGCTCTATCTTGGTGATGGTGGGATCCTCCACATATTCAAACCGCAGGTCTCTCTGGAGATGAGCTCTGTCTATGCTCACAGACACAGACACATTTCCATAGCCGTGCAGGGAAGCATGGGTTCGGCAGGTGAGCCACTGGCCACCCCTCCTGAAGTGATGATAGGATGAAACATTAGTGTGCAACTGATATGTCAGTGTTACTATATATGAACCCTATTGAACAATATATTACATTGTGTAGTCACTCAGGAATCCTCTCCCTAGTTGTTATCACTGTTGATGCAGACTACTAAATGGTTCAAAAACCAATAATAATCTAATATTTAAGGTGGCTGAATGGTTGGTTAAGTGAACATGGATAGAGAGTTTATTGACTGAACTTTGAATTGTGCATTGATCAGTGTTAAATGATGGATTACAGTAATACTATGTATTTTCCCAATGATTTATACATTAAGAAAATGTCACTTCTAATTCAGTAAAAAATTAAATTTTTTCAAGCAAAAAATTAACGTCATGATAGATCCCAGGATATTTAATCAATGTTTCAGTTTATGTGGGGAAAAAAAATTATCTAGGGAAGATGAGCAGTCAGAGAAGTTTACTCCCTGTAGTTTGACTAACACTGCCTTTGACTGAGCTGTTAATGGACTGTTGGAGTGTGAGTGGCATGGGTAGTTCTGACTTGTTCCCCACTAACCTGAGATAAGTGCATGGCTGGTCCTTAAACATGATTGACACATTGCTCCCAGCATCAAGGTGGCTGCCGGTGATGTTGACAATGGTTCCTCCAGAGACTGGCCCTCTGCTGGGCTTGAGGTTGATAATCCTTGGGATCTGGAGAAAGGGCAGGGTCAAACGTCAAAGTGAATCAAAGTAGCAAAATAAATGATGCATAACAGTGAAATACTTAAATGCACAAGGTAATAACAGGTAATAAATAAGACAGGTGGAAAATGTGAAGGACTCCGCACAGTTTTGTATGCAAACAGTTGTGTTTACATTGTTTTAATTCACTACATACAGTATATACATGCAATATACAATGAATGGTATTATTCTTAGCCCAGTCATACATCCTTGTTAAACATAAACACCCTTTCTACCATAGTAATGAGAAAATGATTTCTAAAATCAGAGGTTGAGACACACATGATTGAACCTACTCCTATATCATTAGACTATCGGTTTGTTTTCAGAAAATGTGGGCTCCAGAAAAAAGAAATCTACTGAATGAGCATTCTCAGCTAAAAAGGCCTCTGGGTGTTGATGTAAACGTGAACTGACTAATCCCACTTACATACACTATACTGTGGTGGAAATCTTTCAAATTCAATTGATACAGCAGCAGCTAATGTAGTCCACTGGAAGCTGAAGCTAAAGTAAATCTGCCTCCAGTTCATTTCAGCCTTCTCATAATCTCATCTCCAGCCTACTGTGTAGTGTGACATCTAGACCTAACATCATATAATCCTCTACAAGGACCCCATTGAGAAATAAACCTTGGCCAGCACCCATTAATGGATGGCAGTAAAAATGATAACACTGCATAAAACGAGTACATAATGGCAACAACTGCAAATTTATTCCCGACTATGCGAGTGTGTGTGTGAGTAATGCTGCTTAATTGTGTGTGGAGTGAGAACTGGACCAACCATGAACAAGTGTGTTATGATTTTGTTTTTATGTGTTCACTGCAGAATTTTTTTTTTATAACCATCAGTGTTTCTTCCTCGTTCTGGGCTCATTAGTGACTGCCAGTCATGTCTCACTGCTGACACATGCATGAGATAAATGCTGAGAGGGAGACCAGCCCTTGGTGAGAACCACACCATGTTAGATCACAGCCACGTACATAGTACAAGGAAACCGACATGTACATACAGAATTAACAATTAACAATACAGAATTAGCAGGTGAGAAAATGCATTGAGTGACATATGCAGTGTGGTTGCTTTCCTGCAAAGAGGCAAAGCACTTTGCAATAATTCCATCATCTAAAGAGTTTTAACCATCAGAAACCTTTTTAAATTTAAAAATTCTATGTTTATACAAAAAGAAAGAAAGAAAATAGAAACTCACCACAAAGTAGTAGTACTTGGAGGAATTTGCTGTGAATTCTGCTATACATTCTCCAACTCCCACACAGACCTGCACATGCCCAGTATACTGGCTCTTCTCTGCTTTACCCATCTCACACACAATCCTGGAAACACAGATTCGCATTATTGTAGGACACTTAAGAAAAAACACATGGATGGAAATATACAGACAAACCCAAATGTATATGCCATACACAAAAATGCATATGCAGCAATCCCTGGAAAACCCTGCTGCAGTTCGCCTTGCCAGCCAGTGCAGAGAAGATTACTTAAGAAGAATGGATCTCAACCTATGTTAAAACGTCAATAAAATAATGTATTATTTGGCAGTGGCTTTACCTCCCGAGCTCTGCCAACTTGTGGGAGAAAAGGAAAAAGTCTCTATCCTTTTACATATGACCTCAAATACAGCTACCTCTTCTGCTGGGTCAGCGTTTGCTTAGTAAGTGCTGGCACACAACTTACTTTCTTAGCAGAAGCAGCACTGGGTCTGTTGATAAGCCAACTTTAAACTAGTTTAAAATAATTTGATAAACGCCACCTGTAAGGAACCAAAGCCCTGGATTAAACTCAAATGTCAACTAAATGTAACCTCCCAAACTTTCTACAATGATTATGGGGCCGTGTGTGTTTGTTTGCGTGTATGTGCCGCTATGAAATATGAAAGCCTGTGTTGCTCTCAGCAGTACACATACAAGTCTATTGTACTGTATGTGCACTGCTGTGACTGAACGTTAAATCGAACGCCATTTTCTGCTTGTCTAGGGATTGGTCCAATTCAGCATTAGTTTACTGCTTATGTTGTAGCCTCTTACTCACTCTTTTTCTCTATTGCTGCCTCACGCTCACAGACACACATGCACATAAACATCCTGAGGTGAGCACTCTGACTCATGATCAGTTGGTCTGGCTGACTAGTTATATCTCTGTCATGTGGCCAGCACAGGTAACACTGTGTTGCGTCTGTGTGTAACTCAAGTGTCGTGTGACGTGTTCAGCTGTGGGTCAAAGTGCTTTCAATGGGATTATGGCAAATCCAGAAACATTATGGTGAATTCATCATTTATTTTTGCTGCTGTTTTAAATGTAGTTTGACTGCTCCCTGCGGATCTAGTTCAGCTGGAAAATACTATATTCGTTCATATTGGTTGACAGAATAGTAAATTATTATGCAGCAAAGAGCATTACAACTTGTAATTATCACTATATATGCTATTTATAGCTACTATAAACTGGCTGCTGCTGCTTACTGCTCTGCAGGGATGTAAGTTGAGAATGACATGGTGCGAATGTGCTATTTACTACTTAGTGCTGCCGGTGTTTTAGAATCAGTCATCAATATAAAAAGTGACTTACTGTTCAGCAGGGATGTAGCCCTCACGTATAGGAGTGCAATCCACTCCGGCCACCTTCACGTTATCCTGAATCTCTCTGAACTCCAGTCCCAGGTTCTCACCACGGATGGTCACAAGCGTGCCGCCCTCCCTGGGACCCCGCAGAGGGGTGATCTGTTGAAATTCAAATGTAGACTGATGATTTGGGAGATGTGCTTTGGTTTGTTTTCCTAAACAAAAAGCATTAGTACATTGCACAACACATTTTACATACAACATAAAGTGTGAATGGGCATAAGAAGGTGGGAGGTGGGTAAAACCTAAATCAGTATCATATTTCGATGTGTAAATTGTAGATGAGTAAATGTAATAAAAGTAAAGGTGTGATATTTATGACACCTCCCGATTTGTTTCGCCCTTCTTGCATTTTGTGTCGTCATCTTTATTTAATGAAATTAGCATGTCAAACAATTCAGAGTGTAAGATATATCCACAGCAGTGCCAGTACATTCATGTTATGCAGTGGTGTTATCATGAGTGAGTTTATTCAAGTAGTGGCTTCAAGTAGGAATGACTGTTTACTGGTGTCTGATTATAAACTCCTACTCAAACATATTTTAGCCAAAATGATGACTTCCCAAATGGTGTGAGATGAAGAGTGTTAGCGGCCAGTCAGACTGCAATGTTTGTACTGTTAGTGTTTTGGTTCTTGTCTAACCACTGTATTGACAAAGGCTCTCCTCAATAGCAATTATCAGGTGTAGAAGGACAAAAGGGTGAAGAACGATAGCTATTTTTTATAATTCATTTTTTCCAAATGCTTTCAGGATGAGTGTTAGGTGTTTCTGTTACACGTTATGTAACTCTCAGAAAAAGGTGGGGGATGGGAGAGACGGCTGCAGAATAGAGACCATAAACGACAAAATAATAGCTACAGTGACAGCTTAGGGGTCGAGACTCAGGGTCAGGGGACTGTCATTTCTCAATCCTGCATTCAATGAAATCCACGACAATATATTACATAAGATTAACTTAAAACCTGGCATTAGGTGACATCTTTGCAGTAATCAGTGTCCTTTGATTTATCAGTAACATCTCTCACTGTTGATGAGGAGGTTCCAACATCCATCAACACTTTACTCACACAATTACTTTTTGGCCACTGAGTGTGTGCATACACATCATCAGGCCGGCCCAGATGGATGGATGTTTGAGACAGACACAGAATCGTCTGTCCCTATCTGTCTCTGCCAAATAGAAGTCCTCCATGCTGCAGGCAGGGGCCCAGCTTTAATGATGCTGTGTCACCATTCCCCTGAAAAATAGTTATCCAAAGGATTTTCACTAAGGCTGAGACTCTCATTGTTTTACTGCTCAGTTTATACTTGGCTGCGTGACCCCCTGTGGTGTTCACAGGTAGAGTGCCGAGCGAGTGTCTCTGTGGCCTTATCTCATGGCTTGAAGCTCTTGTATTCTGTAAAGTGATAATCGTTATGTTACACAAAATATTTTAATTTGACTATTTGATTATTTTTCAAAGAAGTGAATTGAAACAAACTGAAGTAGTTGATCTTGAAAGGAACTAGCCAATCGAACGACGGAGGCAAGCTCAAGCTAGGTCATGCACAACACAAGTCCTGTGGCTGTCATGTGGGAGATATCGTTATCGTATGGTTCAATGTCTGATTAATAAGGCTCCCTGCTGATGTCTTAATGAAAAAAAAGAGCCTCCTGGGGATGGGGCTACAATACATGCAATTAAAAAGATTGCGCACAATGCATCGTGGCTCACCACTTATTAGCAAATATTGAGGATGGAGGGGGAGAAAGACTTAGAGAAATCGTGAAGTAGAAGAATGGGGCGAAAGAATGAAAGAGAGAGAGCGAGAGACGCAATGAGGCGTTGATTAGATTTGTGACTTTGACAAGATAATTGACGGTTGGGTAGAGGCAAACACTTAATCACTTCTCCCTCTCTCGCCCTTTCTTTTTCCATCTTTCTATGTGAGTCTCTCCCCCTCATATTGTTGACGGGAGATGTCATTATAATGAAGCGTATTAGAATGCATTAGGGCCCTGGTCGTCTTGGAAAAGTCCTCACTCCTCACCCGCTGACAGTTTTTATGGGGGACGTGAGAAGGCTGCAATATGTCCCTGCTGCAGCCTCAGGCATGTAAGGAGAAATACAGGGCCCATCTCCAGGAATAAATCCACTGTTCAGGCTGAAGACAAACACTGGAGTAGAGGAATAATAGAGTGCAACTGACTGATCCAGAGTCTTTTATAAGTAGAACGCGGGACAAAATATCATCATCTTTTCATCACCTTCCTCAAGAGTAGATTTGATTTTGCCTAGATAAGAATAATCGAAATCGTTTAGGTTATCAATGAGAATAGAAAGTCAGGTAAGTCCACTGTTTTGAAGATGTCTATTTCCTTGAACTCCAAAGATTCCACACTTTGGTCCTCTCCTGTCTGACTCCCCTCCTTTCCTTACTTAAAAAGATCAGGGTCATGTTGTAAGGTCACAAGAATCTATCAGATTTATGGTGCTGCTTTCGCTGAATCTCCACCAAGGTCAACCACTTATCTGTATGCTGGTGTACCTACGATGCCACAGGGAGAAGAAACCAGAGAAGGGATTACTCTTTCATTCCTGTATCCCTCTTCCCTCTCTCTGTCCAAACCCATCACTCCGCAGGACACCGAAGGGGATTCCCTTCTCTTTTTTATTCACGCTTTGCTTCATCCCTTCAGCTTTAGTCAGTCACCATCTGCTCCTAACACTCCTCCTTGGGAAAAGGTTGCAGAGGGGACCCTTACATCCATCACTGGGAAAAGGGGAGGGGGTAAGTTGGGGGTCTTCTTCCACCCCTTTAGCCTGTTGTGACTATTCTGGCTCAATCTACCCATATGTCACCACACCTCTCTTTCAAGTGAACCCAATCCATCCTACTCTCTCTTTATCTGGCCATCTTTCCATCCATCTTTCCTTTGTATTTGTCTTATCCTTCATCTCACCTTATCCCTTCTGCTATTGCCCCTTTTATATCTTGCACAAGTCAAGGCTATTTGCCTCACACTGTGTTCATGGTTTTCAGGAGCATGCTGGGTTAAACGGGGTTTACATGCACATCTGTGCAGAGTTGATTGATAACTAGCAAAAGCGAGGATGATCTGTCTCTATTTAGGCTTTACACGGACTATCTGAATGTTAGGATACTGAAAGTAAGGGAGGAGTTCATTTCCATCAAAGATAGCCAATGTCCAACTTACTTTTTTGAGAAAAGACCTGCCTATTTTCATGATTGTGATTCTAGTATATCATTATCACTGAAACTTTTTGAAGAGTGAGATGTGTATCCTCACTGTAAAAAGGTGTAAAATAAATGTATTGTTCTTGCTGTCAGACTGAATAGCTGGTGGTGACCATTATGTTGAAATGATCAGCTGCCGAGTGGGCTATGAGTATGTTACCATCTGTACAATCTGTAATTAAGGTAATTATGTATGTATATGTATAAGAACTTACATTAATGTTGGCATTGCTTGGCCCATGTTGGTGCTTACGTGTTAAGTATGGACTGTATTGGTGGACGCACGCCGACACTGATGCATGCGTCTCCTGGTATGTGTGTCTCACCTGTGTGATCCGTGGGTGGGTGCACTTGCTGTTGATGCCGTTGTGCTCCAGCCACTGGTTCTCAGGATGGGGGCAGTGTTGCTTGAGGGTGCAGCGGTTCTCTCCTTTACACCAGACACACCCAAACAGCGGGTCTGCCTTCAGACACAAACCACAGCTTCCTCGCTGGGCGTCACATTTGTACAGATGGACTGTGCAGGAGGGAGGAAAGAAAGGGGCGGATGATAGAAGAAGGTAATGGAAGAGGGAGAAAGAGTAGAAAACCAGAGTGAGCAACCTTTGTACAAATGATTACAGCACTGCAAAGGCATGTGAAATTATTTTGGGAAAAAGCCTCTAAAATGATGGACAAACACACACAACAAACTACAATTTGGGTTGTTTACTCATATCGCTCAATGTCTGTCAGCTGTTGTTTGAATATGCAAACAACAAACTCGACATTCTGAGAGAGACATTTGCTGATATCTTTGTCTCATTATCTCTCCATCTATCATCACCTCTATATACTCCCTCTCTCTCTGAGGTTCCTACACTGCTGCCTCTCGCCTCTGCGAAACCACCACACGTTTAACATATCATCTCCATGGCAACGGACCGACCATTTTCTTTTTAATTGTGATAAGAAGCATGTGTGATCTGTCCATCAAGTGATGCCCTGGGAGCTGCTTCCTCCACAGGCAAACAAAGGAAGGAGGAGGACAGGGATGACTCTAGTTTAAGCATCCTCCCCTCTTTCTCCAACTTTTGTTGCTTCTTTGGTTCTACACTTGTGCTCGGGGATATGTTTTGTACACTGTATCTGACTCAGGCACACAACGGCAAACACACACAAACACTCTACAAACTTTGCCTTACAGCACAGTGTCATGTTGGCATATCATCCACATTTTAACAATTTGCTTCTTACGCCTGACTCTACTGCCTTTGGTTAAAATGAGTTGTTTTCCTGTCAGAGAACTACAACCCCCAGCATGCTGCTGTTTCTCTATCCCAGCATGGTACACTCACAGTGGTGGATCGCCAGTGGCCAAACTGAATCAAGCTCAGCAGCTGAATGCTGAGTGCTTAAAATTTTAGCACTAAGCTGTCATTCCACATATACAGTGAGTAGATGGAGAGTTAGATAGAAAAGAAAGGGAAAGGCAGAGAAATAAATCTTAGAGCTATAGCTGTTATTTATTACCATTACTTAGCTCAGCTGTACATGTATATGCTTTGCCAATGTTTCTCATGTAACGTACGCTAGTGAAGCACGTTGAATTGCTGAGATGAGAGAAATGAAATGAAGGGAGGAGAGAGGCAGTGGTGAAAGAGATTGATAGATTGCCAAACTCCCAGAGCGGTGTTGACAGAGCAAATAAGAGAAACAGCTGAAAAGAAATAAGAGGAGCAAGAAAATGGAATTCAGAGACGGACAGAGACAGACAGGCAGATGGAAACAAAGAGAGACAGGGAGGCGAAAGAGAGACCTACAGAAGTAAAGCGTAACAGAGGATGTGTTAAAGTTAACCACTCTACACACCAACATCAGAGGATGGATGCTGCACCTCAGCACACCGCCCGCCTGTTGCCATGGAGACCGGCTCCAAGGGCAACAATGGGGAGGCAGCAGCTTTACGTGCGTGTGTGTGTGTGTGTGTGTGTGTGTGTATGTAAGTGAGAGTTTATCAGAAACTATGTCGACTATATATGTGTGTGTGGTTTTTATGATATTGTAAGAACTATGGAAAAAGTTGATATTGATTCAAGTGTATACGTGTATGTATATATATATATATATATGTGTATATATATATATACATATACACACACACACACATATATGTGTGTGTGTGTGCGCGCGTGTGTGCTTTCTCACCTTTGTTGTGGGCGGGGTTGTCAATACTGAAATCTCCGTTCCAGATGACGGTCAGCTCCACAGGAAGGCTGCTCATCTCCATCCCATCGTAGAAATACTATCACCATGGCAACCACAGAGGGAAGGAGAGATGGGAGAGAGAGTATGAGAGAGAGAGAGAGTAAAAGAGAAGCTGTTAAGCTACTTTTAACTGTCCATTATCTCCAAGTCCAAAAGCCTACACTATCACAATACACCTTTGAATGCGAAACGCATCACCAACAGGTGGCTGTACACACAATGAATACACACATGAACTCACACACATGCATGCTGAATTCACAGCCACACACTATACACACCAGGGAGCTTTCAAAGAGAAGATTATTTTTCTTTTGGTTCTGTAACACCAGCAGTATGGCGGGTTGATGCTAGAATCATAATTTTCCGCTAAATTACAGTTTCCCTCCTTCACTGCTCAATCAAAGTACAATATTTGGATTGTACTCTGATTATGCTCACAGATCCCACAGACATCCCTACACACAGACACTGACACACACACTCAGAGTGATGAAGACAGACAGGAAGATGAGATGTTATTGTATCAACAGACGATTAGCATCAAGACTAGCATAAAGCCTTTTTCATGCTATTCTTTCATTGCTGTCAATGTATTATTCAGTCAGTGAATGGAACCCGATCACAGGGATGGTTGTGTAGGTGAGACAAGTCAGGCTCTTGTCTCATCTACCCACTGTCTAGCCAGAGCAAAAATCCCTGAGCTGGAATGAGTGTGTGTATGTGTGTGTGTGTGTGTATGTGTGTGACAGAGATCGAAAAAGTGTTATGGTCTCATTTATTGGAAACCTTTATAGAAATGGGGCGTCTTTATAGAGATTGTGTTGGTGTGTGGGTGGGTGGTGGTAAATGATGATGTGTAACAGAACCTGACACATTAAAACGCACACGTACGCACACAAACTCCTTACCGAGGTGTTTTGACACTGCACTGAAGAGCTGTTGAAGCGCAGGGCAGGAACTCTGTGCTCGTTTCCCTGGATGGTCAGCAGACACTCGTAGCCCCTCTGACCAGACTGGGGCTGGGGGAGGTTCTTTGCCCGTAGTGTGATGGGCTTCACCACGTTGACTGGAACCAGGATCCTCTCTGCAGGCAGTAACTGGGGACACCCCTGGAAGAGAGACAAAGTGACAAGGAAGGAGAGTGACTAACTTCAGGTCTTCGCAGTGGGTCTAATGCACAATTGCAACTAGATTAATGTTACTCAAGGAGCTCCTGCAATTCCACTGTTGAGCTTTGAATTAACTAAGCCTTTTAGAACTCGCCTCAGATGCAAAAAGACCATTTAGACCGAACAGTCAGGTTCAAATTATTTAAGCCTTATGTTGTAAAACATTGTGACATAATTTCAACTATGCACATACTGATCCTATCTGTGATGCCAATTTTGGCACCTCAGATAAGTTAATTCATATCAGATTGCTGATCTATTCCACACAGTCCCGTCACAGAGGAGCTGATCTGGTGCTGAAATTTTGGATTACTTACAAAAAAAACCTCACACTATGAAATTGACTAGTTTGAGCACTGCTTTATTTTACTGTCAGCAATAACATAGTAAAGAACAGTCTTTTAAAATATTAGTTTCTTTAAAAATAGTTGGTAGTTAATTAATTAATTAATTAAAAATGATTAGGTTTTGACAGTTTTTGACATTAATTGAAATGCAACATCAACCTTTTCAATCTGTTACATCTGTTTGGAGACAACTAGGATGGCGCTAATTGCACCAGGAATGTTCCTAAAACCTGGCAGTGTTCTGTAAACTCACAGAGCCATCAACACTTTCTTCATTTATCTCATCAGATAGCAGACTCCAACAACAAACAATACTTCCCCAACATTCATTTAATCTAATGACAAAGACACTTCAGCATGAACTGTTTTTAGTGTTATAGGGTGAGATCAGCGAAGCCTCTTAGTTACACAGTCCTGGGAACTGCTCACAGACACTGTGAATGAAGAGCCAGCTCAATCTGTACTCCACTGTCATTACCCACAGGAGGGGAACATTAATGATACAATGAATCAGACTGTTATACAGAGATATGAGCTCGCAGTTTTTATTTGTATGTTTGGTTGTTGCATTCATGTTTTTGTTCAAGAAAAAGAGATGCCACTGACATATCAAAATAAGTTTGATTTCTGCCTGTGCAGTAATTGGGCAAGAATGAATGACAGAGAGAGATAGTGAGAGAGAGAAAAAGAGAGGCGAGGGAGTCACTTAGCAATTGGAGGTCTAAAATTAACAGCCAATCAATTCAGGTGTGAGTAGATGGCTAAATATAGAGCACCTATGACTTATCTGAAAGATGAAGAGGAGTAGTGGAAAGAAGAGGAGGCCAGGTAAGGAGAGGGAAAGAGTTGGACAGAGAAGAAAAAAAAAAGAAAAGACAAACAGAGGAGGACAGAGAGGACAAGTGTAAAAAAAAAGAAGTGGCATGAAGAGGAACGTGACTGACAAGCAGAAGTGAAAGGTGAGGAGAGAGGTAAAAGAGGGTAAAGATAGTAAATAGAGAACAGCACTTTCCTAAGTACTTTGCAAACTTTCATGTTTTCGCTGAAGAGCGGTGGATAGAGAGACAGCAAAATAGGCAAAATGAGAGAGAGGAACAACAAAAGAACAGAGCGACTGAAAGAGGCAAAAAATACCATTAAGCGTATGCGACAGGAGGAGCCTTAGCATGTCAAAGAGGCAGAGGGAAAGAGGGTGAAAAGAAGGAGAGCAGATAAGGTGAACCCCCGCATGGATGGAGCTGGGGGGGAGTGAAGCATAGCGCACGTTGAACTGGGTGATAACACTTGTTTGAAGTTCATTAAAAGCCACTTGATTGGGTTAGGCTGAGTGACTGACTGGATGGCTGCGTGGTGAGAGAGGGGGGAACGCTCTGTGACACTATTCACAAAGTCATTATAGATAAATGACACACAGGGTGAGTGAGTTCAGTGGTGGTGGAGAGGAAGGAAGAGGTGGTGCATTTGTGTTTGCTCTTCCAAATCTCATTTTCCTAAGAACGAAGGGTCGTATTTGGAGAACGAAAATGAGTGGGAGAGCAAAGAGAGATGCAATCCATTTTTAATCACATCTCTTCCAGTTAATACACTTGAACAATAGGGACAATAAATTTGATCTGGTTTGTGGAAATGAAGGCATAGGAGGCACTGGCGTATGACTTTACATGGTGACTTGAGCTGAATCTCAAAGACACAGATCTGCACTGATAGTGGCATATGGTGATGAGGTGATGGGACTACACACACACGCACACACGCACACACACACAGAGGGCATCCAACTAAATGCATTGAAGTGTCTGAAATCTAAACTCACACCAAAATGAGTATTTCTGGTACATGTAAACAGATCCAAGGTTAACACACTGACATATCATATGTATGCTCTCTCACTCACACACACACGCACACACACACACACACACACACACACTCACACACACACACACACACACACACACTCACACACACACACACACACACACACACTCACACACACACACACACACACACACACACACACTATAGCCTTGGAATCCCATTACAGTATAAGATAAACGCCACAAGTCAAAGCCAGACAGCATCTCTTGTATCATCTCGCCTTTATGACAACATGTTAAGGAGATGGAAAACTTCAAAATGCAAATTCAAGCAGCAGCTATCTACACACACACACACATCCTCACTATTTCAACATTTCATTAACACCTTCCACAATTCTCTTTACAACACTGACATCAGTCATTTATTTTTTTTTACAGCTATGCTCCAAATACACATGAATGTGGTCTCAGGTTAATAATCTTACATGGTCACACATAAACACACTCTTTCACACAAGTACACCCAGGCTTGTACACACAAGTTTATTTAAACCCATAAACCAGTCATCTGCCCTGTAATTCTGACGCAGGCTTCCCCCAGCACTGCAGATTGTACACACACACACACACACACACACACACACACACACACACACACACACACACACACACACACACACACACACACACACACACACACACACACACGCACACACACGCACACACACGCACACACACGCACACACACGCACACACACACGATCAACCTTGCTAGCAGTATAGCCTGTCATTCCCCTTGTCTATTTAAAATCAATAACATCTTAATTAATCTTAATTCTAACTAATTTTTATTTTGTGACAGAGGAAATAGTAAAACAATTAAAAATTCATGATGTGGAAAGGAATCTACAAACAAGAATGTAAGCTGTTGATAGCCTGTGTTTTTCCTCCCACTTAGCTCTGTTTTTTCTGTTTCTATGTATACATGTACACTCAGACACACTCGTATAACACACCATGATCGTTGCCAGCAGTCCCTGAGGCCAAGTGGGCTCTCAGTGGTTTGGACAAACATGTGTATATCCTAGTTGGCTACTGATGCTTGTGGCGTTGGCAGTTATACTCGCTGTCGCCAGTTAAGATTTACGTCGACGTTAAGTTGATCTGATGTCAGTGCGTTTATTGCTGCTCCCCACCCTTTCTACCCCCCGATGACTGAGGTGCGATAAATAACAGAGGAGCAAATGCAAATCACCTCACAGATACATGTACACAAGCCGCATAGTACATAAACACACACATAACCCCATAAATATGCACATGCTCTCGCTGTGTGCCATCGTACAGACACAAAAATTTAAATTTGCAACTCTTGAAGCTCTCCACTCCACCAAGCTGTTGACTGTCAGCTGCTTGACTCCAAGCAACAGAAGGAGGAAGAGAAGGAGAGCAGGGTGGAGAAGTGAAATGTGGTAAGATGGTCATATTAAAACTTTGCAATGTTTTAGAAGGCTACTTATTAGTGGTGTTGACAGAGTAATTTCACCAACATTACAAAAAAAAAAAAGAATAATAATAACATTTTGTCACTTAAGTCTAGTAGTATTGCCATGCAGTGAGTTATTTGCTTGGATTTTTTTAAAAAGACATTTGTCTGATATTTCTACTGCAACCATAAAACTAGAAAGGTGAATTTCATTTGTGGTGTTTACATCATTTGCAAATCACATAAAAAATGCAACATGTCTTTTCACAAACAGAGTCCTGATTACACGAAATAATTGGCAGACAAAATTCTAAACATTTTTCCTTGACACTTCTAAGTGTCAATAGTTAAGTGGATTATTTACAGTAATGTGCCCTGTTCCTAGAGACAAATGCTGCCATTGATTTGGTGGATATCTCAAAGGCTGGATAAATTTAACCAACACTATCTACACGAGTAGATACCAGTAGAATTAGGGAAGTTTCTTTTGTATTTGGGTGAAACAAGACTTTAATATCTTTCTCCTGGCTGAAAGAAGAGATAACTGATCTGAGTAGTAGTCGAGAGAGACTAAAAAACATCTTAAACGTGAGGGGAGGTGGCTGTATGTGAAGATGTGAACGTCAGTGACAGTCCTACAGTCATGTAATCAGGGACTTGCAGTAAAGCACTAGAAAGAGAAAAGTACCTGTCAACAGCATGACTCATCATAACAACATAATAAGCACTGACTTTTGAAAATCAAGTTGGTACCTCTTTTTTCTCTACATAATTATCCTTCATTCTTCCTCTTTCCATCACTGAATCATTGTTTTGTCTGACCTCATCTCTGATTCTCCTTCATGCTCGTGCTTTATTCCTCCTTCATTTATCGCTCTCTAAACCAAGCCTCTGTTATTCGTCCTATCTAGCTCACTGACCCTTGTCATTTCTCTTATCAACTAACACTGATTCTCTCTCCCCCTCTCTTTCTCGACTTCTTTTCTTCTCAGGGACCTACTTAGATCTGATAATTAGAGGCTGGTGGGAGGTGTGAAGGGTGGAGATAGCGAGAGTGACAGAAAGTAGGAAGCGGTGTGGGAACTGTGAATGTAAAAGCCCTTGGCATAGTTTGAAGCAAGGGAGTGTGAGAGCGAAAGAAAGAGAGAGAGAGGCCCATAATTATAGCAGGGTAGGGTGTGAAGATGAAGAGGATCTTAAGTTTTCATACACGTACACACACACACCTTGTGGTTACCAAGAGCTCTCCTTAACTGGCCTCTGTTTTATCATTTCCTACAGAGCCTTGGGCAAAGACACTCTCCTGCTCTCTGTTCACCTTCCCTCCTTTCCTGCTGCTTCTCACCTTGTTCTTATCCTGCCGTTTCGTTGCTTTTTTCTCCTGCAATTTTTGGTCTCACTCAGCCTCTTTGTCCTTCCTCTTAAAGGAACATGATAATTTATTACAACTTTGGTTTTGGCCATCATCTCCATTGGTTATGATAACATCCTACTTTCTAAACTGACTGCCGAGATGTGAGAGGACGGTGACATTGCCAAAGCAATGAAGACTGATGGGGCAACAAACACAAGGCACCCCCCAGATCGTAAACAAACAGTTTATATAGATTACCGAAGGTAAAACCAAAAGTTAGTGCACATGCAATGTCAGTAATAACCCCCCATAACACAAGCGCAGTAGGTAGTTACTTTCGGTTCTATGGCAGGAACTCACATGGCGCTTATAATATTATTACCAATAGTAATGATGGCAAAAGAAAAAAAAAAGACCCAGGTTAAGTGAAATCCAAGCAAGGTCCCTATGTTAGAGCAGTTTAAGCGGCATAGTGAAGCTCTTCAATCTTTCCCTTTCAGTACCTTCATTTTGTCATTTCTCTTCCACTTTGTTTCATTTCCTTTCATACTCAATTTTGACATATCCCTTTTCTCTTCACTCTGCTAATACTCAACTGACTCCTCAGCAGTCAGTGCCTGTGTATGACATTGATTTGAATTGAACTGAAGCACCTTTCTCCACCATCTCGGTCTAATATTGGCAACTAACAGCTATTACTGCTGGCATTTAGCTTCTTTAATAAAATTAAATTGATCACTTGATCAATAAAGTTCCTGGTAAATAAACTCCCAGGCGTCGATCACCACAACACAGACAAGAAGTAACTAATGCACGAGTACATATGTGCTAGGGGAAAAATGATATGAATTCGGTAACATTAATATTTTTGTGTGTTTTGTATCTTCCTCGGAGCTGAATATGTTAGGGAAAGGCTTGGCAGCAGATCAGGATGTGAGAATGCTGCGTTATAGAAAGCAGAATAGGAAAGGGAAATATTCTCCTGTGATTCTCATCAGACAAAGAGAACAGGAAGTGTCCTGAGTTTCATAAGTTGCTTTAGGTGTGACAGTTGTGTGCATTTTAGGGATGGGGGATGTGGTCTGAGAAAGTGCTAAATATGCAGGAAAACACACACTGTTTATTGTGTAAACAAGCACAGCCTATTCAACTCTTAATCAATAGAACAGCAGTGGTCAGGAATCACTTTTGGCTATTTATTCGGTGTAACCAAATGGAACTGCATGCATGTTCTTTGTCAGTGAGGCTCATCAGAACAGCTAAGTCCTTGAGATGTGTGGAGGGCAAGATGGGACGTGGCCTTGGTTAATGTGCCAACAGGCAAACGTCTGATCCGAGAGCCCATATCATTGCTGGCATGAATAGAAAGGCACCCACTGTACGCCCAGGCCTGGCTTTAACTCTGTCCTGCCATGCATACTAACAACAAGCTCAACCAGTAGGGAGATTTGCCTGGCGTCAATCATTAGCATAGCGTTGAGGGATTATTCAGATCACTGCCTGAAATCCCTTAATTGTAATAGTACACAAAAAATCATCTCCAGCAGAAAGAGGCCATCCCATTTCATCGAGAAAAGTTGACTTGTTTCCCTTCATCAAATTTGAGAATGATTCTATTGGATGGTCGTGTGTGTGTCTAAATTATTAATTCAAAACGTCAACCAAAAATCTGGCAGCAAATACATGACCTTGGATTTGAGGGGTTAATTAAAAGCAAATTAAAAGTCATTAAGCCTGCAAAACACCTGCTTTTTCTGAAACAACATGTCAAAAAAGGGACGTCATTAATGTGCTAATACCAAATCCCCCTCACTTTATTTATGGTTTTCTTTTAGTCATCAACACAATAGGAGAAGATTCACACATTATTATCCTCAGTCAATATTGACCACCAGCGCCTGAGTTAATTGGAAAAGTAAACCTGCAAAGACTGAGGCTTGGGCCTGACTAAGCAGAAGGTTCAAAAGGATAATGGAAACAGCAGAAAAAGAAAATAATATCGTCTGCGCAGGTTGAATGGCTCGGGGGAAACATGGGTGGAATAACACAATTGAGAGCAGACTGCTCATCAAAGGAGGCAATCTGGCTAAGCTTGTCCCTGCCCGTCGTGCAGCGCCTGCCAACCCAGACATGAGCAGTAGTGATCTTCATCATAGCTCACCTCAGGCTAGGATTAACAGGCCACTAACTCCCTGTAAAACCCTCCCCGGAAAAAGTAGCGTGAATTGGCAGGGCTCAGGCAGGCAAAAACTGTAAACACACACATACGCACAAACATAGAAATACAAAGAAGCATGCAGACACACAGACATACTGCTACTACCCACAGGCCGACACCAGACGTTACACACGAACACAGGCACATACCCAAACCTTTTTTTTTTTACCTCCATGCACTACTCTGAAGGCCGCCACTGTGGCAATGACTCTAAATCAGAGTGAGACCCCTCTCACAGGACAGGAAGTAGGCGGGTTGGGGGCATTCACTGAATGTACCCCATCCAGTGAGTAGCATGTCCTCTGCAGCAGAGCAGCCTAATTACAGTGGGCTCTGCTTCGACGGGAATAGAACTGGCTGCCAATATTATTGATAATTCACACAGACTAAGCTGTCGCTGGGAATAGGGATGGGCAAGAGGAAATGGCTCTGTTTTATTAGCTTCCACTGCCCTTTGATGTGCAGTCAAGAGCGAGACATGCCAGGAGACTCATGCCAGATGGAAGCACTACAGCTGAAAGGTGTCTCAATCCTTTTAACATAACTCTTTTTGCATGTGAAACCTAGAATGATAGCTATTAGTCTCATGTAGCCAAACATTTCCCCTCAATTTATTTCACTGTGTTTTATTACTTAGCTGGCCCACTACGAAAAGCCTGTCTGGAGCTGGTCAGCATTAAAATTATGGGGATTCTTGGGCATTCTCTTAATGGGCCACATGTTGACTGTCCTTGAACCTAGAGGTGCTGTGAGACAGTTTGGGCCTCCTGCACACATTTCAAATCTCTATTGAGGGCTTCACTCTCTCTCAGCAGCACTTATCAAGGTGCGGTTTGAAGACTGAATAACTGCTGTTCATGTAAGAAAGATGTAATCCTAATAAAACACTTGTATCACCAGCCCTGGTTTGGGACTCACCTCAGGCTTCTTGACTCGTCCCTCCTGGAAGGAGCATGTGCGAGGGTCGTGGGTGCAGTCATGTCTGTATTTGCACCAGTGGCACTGGTAGGGGCTACTCACACATGACAGACACCTGAATGGAGAGCAGAGGAGAGGGAAGGCAGCGTTGTGAATTAGTATTGAGCTGAAGCAAATACACTGGAGAAGAAAAGCTCAATATGCCTACTTACTTATGTATACAATAAATATTTCCAACACTGTCAGAGTAAGTTTTTTTGTCAATATGAAGGGCTAAGAATTCTGATAAGTTGTCTGCTAGAGTACTCCAACTCGAAATGTCAACGGAGAGTGACATAAACTGACTACAAATGATGCATGCTTTGGCCATCCAGTGCAATTCTTACTTCTCTGTAAAATCTGAAAAATGTCAACTACACATCTGAAAACAACTTTGAAATCTTTAAGCGGTCAGACTTACGATTTGTGCACACTACAGTTGTAGAAAACAAAACTGGTATTTGCGAATGCCAGGCCTGTCTCCTTGGACTTGAGATAGAGCTGCACAATCTGGTGGTCACCTAGAGAAAATACATCAGTGTCTAAATTAATAGTTTGATACATAGAGGTAGACGGAACATTTTTTATTCAGGTAGAAAGAAAAAGCAAGGTAAGGAGAAAAAAAAAAAAACTAATAGCAGCAATGATTGCTTTTGTTTCAGAACTCATTTATTGAACCCACTATTGATGGTTTCATTCAACTTTTGAAACAAACAGGAAAAATATAACAGTATAATAATGATAATGGTAGAACGTCATAGCTACTTTTCCAGCACAATTTTATTCACTTGTTCACGTATCCTTTTTCAGTGTCTAGTTGCATTAGACTTTCCCATGAAGACAATATGACTGCACTGCTTTGAGCCACAGGTGCTCAGCCTGTTGCTGTGGTAAAGGCAGTATCTTAAGAGAGAGAGAGAGAGATAGAGAGAGTAGAAGGGTTTTGTTGGGTTAAGTCTCCCTATCCCTTCCACCTTAGAAGAGACAATAAAAGTTGGTGCACACACATTTCCCTTGGGATGGAAAATATTCCCCTGGAAAAGTCTTTGAGAGTGTCTTTGACAAGGTAAAGGGGGAGGAAGATGAAACAAAAACCGTGTGTGTGTGTGTCTGTGTCTGTGTGCAAGTGTGTGTATGTAAGCTTGCGCCTCATCTGTATTTGGTGTGTCCTTTTGTCTGGCCCTAATGAAGGAGTTCATGTTTAATTCAACAGCACATCCACACATCTAACTGCTCTCGCTACTCTACCTCTGTACTGCTCTCTCTCATCCCCACTCTATCTCTACACACAGGTCTCTTCGCTTCCTTCCACACTGCGACTCTTTCTTCTCCCCCGTGTCTCTCTCCATCTCTCTAACAAAGAAGGAATCATTCATCAATCACAGTAAAGCACCGCTGACAACGGATCTGTCCTAATTAGGCCACCTAAATGTTACCTTGAAGCCTGCTAACAAAATCCATCCCTCCCTCTCTCTCTCTTCACTCCATCTACCTATCTCCCTTCTTTTCGCTCTTTCAACCATGCTTAGACTAATGGGTGCTGGTGAAAATGGAAGATGAAAGGTTCAAATATAGGCAAACATGTGGAATGTTTTCCTCTTCCTGACATAGGAAAAGGATATAAGCGTGTGTGTTTGGGTGTGGGAGAAAGACAAAGCAAAAGGTTCTTCATTGTGTGTGTGTCTCAGAGCACATATTTACGCATCTATGTTTGCATAACAACAGCATCACCAGCGTTACATGTGACTGACATGGCAAATATTGAACAAATGCTTTTAATTCCCTAAAGCACCCTCGGGCTCCCTGTCAGCTGTACATCTGCGTGCTGTCTATCTGTGGATCATTTTATTGCAGTGTGTTTTATTTTGTTTGTGTGTGTGTGTGTGAGTGATGCTCCTGTTAATGTGGGTGCACTGAATGAATAAGGGAAAATGTGAATGTGTGCATGTGTACAGCTGAGCACTAAAAAGGTCTCACCAGCCCTGTAATGAATGCTGGTCTTCTCACTCCCTGTCTCTGTATTTTAGTCTACACTTACCTCATGTTTGGCTTTTGAATCCAATACCAATAAACAATATATAGATCTTTTTTTTTTAAATGACAAAAAGCAAGTGTGAATACCATTTTCTTACATTGTCTAAAAACCATCAGGGAGCATTCCTTTGTATGTAAATTTTGAGCATTATTGATGGATCACCATCTTTCTCTTTTCTGTCTATTTCTCTTTTCATTCATTATTCATTTTCTTTTTGTGGAACTATGGAAGGATGGCATCTTCATTATCGCAACATGAGGACACACTGAGGGTTGGTAATGAAGGATTACCTGCCTGGGGACAGGCCTTCCCAGATGGGAGCTTGGTTCAATTAGACCGGGCTTAGCCGACCACGGAGAGGTGAGGTGAAGAGCAGTGGAATAAGGAAGAGAAAAAATATTTTCCCCTCTTTGCTTGTGAAATGAATAACATCAGAAACGTTTCAGCTGTTACCCTTTTGAAAGTAATAGAAACAGTGACATTGTCTGCAGGGACTGTGTAATCTCCACGCTCTGAATTAGCTGTAGTAAGAACACTTAGCTGTGCAGCTTGATTTTCTTCTTTTTGCACTGGGGTTAACCGGGGTCCCATCGCTCCCTCTGGAACATATCCACTTTGAGGGAAGGTGGTAAATAAATCCCACAGCAGACTAATAACTAATGTTCACTCAATTACTAAACATATCCTAAGGCAGTGCTCCAAGGCCTGTTGAGTTACTGATGGCAATGAGAAAAACAAAAAAATTCATAGAACACTTGTAGCCCTAGGTCTATCATGGTTCTGACTGAAGGGAAAACATCCAGATGAACGTGTGCTTCCCTGGCATGTATTCAACAGGTGCTCTAATGTTAATCACTTGTTGATTCTGGCAATGGCTTTTTAATATATTTTTCTCAATATTACAAATAACCTTTTGACAGGTTATCAGCAGGCATCCTCCAGATCATCACAGGCACTGATGTCTTTTTCTGTACATGTTCACAACGCAACATCAAATTGAACAATGTGACATCCACCACTAGCTGGCATGGAAAAGTAAAGTTCCTGAACACATTTTTTGCTTTTTGGGCAAAAAGGCTGCAATAGGGTTAACCCTTACCTTTGTCAACAATAATGCGTGGCATCTCCTTCTCAGCAGGTGAGAAGCACTTGATTCGGTTTCCCTCCACCAAGCCGTTCATCTCAGCCAGATCCTCGAAGGTGCAGTTGACACCCGCAGAAAGTTCTGGGACATTATGGGCTTCCAACACCAACTGTAGGAAGAGAAAGACAGAAAAGTGTGTTAACAGCTGCCAGCATTCTGTGCAATGTTATATTCACTGTTAATATTCACTTTGCAGTAACTGCATGGACTCATATAAGAAAAATAATAAAAGAATAATGAAATGAACTCATGACAGTTATGTAGCTGTGACACTATGATGAAGCACCAGCTACAGATAACAAAAACAGGGATGATTCAGACACTCATTGTTTTTGAGTGACTTCATATTCACAAAGTCAGTTTTTTTTTTTTTTTAACAAACAACAATTCATCAGTTTAAAATACTATTGATGAAGCATGGCATAATTGCATCCATGGTCAGAGATAAACAACTTAGATCTTCGTCCCAATTATCAGACTCTCACATCTGTGAGCGCTTCAGATCAGTTTAAGAGCCAATATGTTCTTCAAATATGACTGTAACATAATATTACTCATGAGAGGCACAGCTGCAAGTTCTGTGCAGAAGAAAGATCCATCTGCAGGGAGGTCAGTGGCCAGAGGAGCCACCAGGGGACTCTTGAACGAAGCATCAGATGCGCCAAACAACATCAAAACACTCTGATGCAGAAAGAGACAGAATGACTTAAAACTGAAATCAGTGTCATCTTAATAGCCTGTATCTGACAGTCACAAGCACTACTACCTTTCTGACCATCTCCCATAATGCCTCATGGCATCAATGAGCTGTATGCATTTCACATTCCATCTTAACATCCTGACTCTCTGGCTAAATGACAAAAAAGAGTGTTTTTATGGCAGACAGTGAGAGAAATGATAAGTGCAGAAAGTCAAGGTAAGTGGAAGGATGAGGAGTAAGTAGAGATGGAACAAGCCTATTGAATTTAGATGGCTGAAGCAAGTGCAAGATGAAAAGAGACTATGGAAAGAGGAAGAGAGAACTAGCAGGAAGACTGAGGTGAACAAATGAGGCAGTAAAGAATGGAGGAGAGAAGGGCAGGCATACAAGCTGCTGGACAGGGAGGGAAAAGAGGACTCTCTGGGAAATATAGAATGCAAATTTTCACACTTCATTTGAAAACGCTGTGTAAGCTCTCTGCACCTCAGCAAAAACTGGCTTCAGGTGGAGCAGGAGAGGGAAAAAAAACACTGTCCTTGAATAAGAAAAAGAAGAAGAAGAAGAAAAAAAGAGGGTCGGTAAGGCAGGTGGAGTGGGGTCAAGACCAAAATATACATATTGATGGAAAAGCGTGTCTGCACTGGGCCTTGGTCTGGGCATTGATTTGAGGTGCAGTCCATAGTACACTTGTGATGTGATGCTGAAAGCTGCCTCAGCGGCAGAGAAGGGCTGACCTGAGCTGTTTTTATATTGCTGTTTAATGAAAAGACGGCAGTGCGCGTGTGAACAGATACACAGCTTCCCACATAAGATGGACACTGCATGACCAGGCTTCTATCTCTTACACATCCACTCTCTCTTTCGTTGCTCACTCTACCTCTCACCTTCTTCTCCCACTTTAATTTATTTTTCTTTTTAAGGAGGGAATACAGCCAGACCTTGAGTTTCCTCAATTACATTTAGAGTAGTCACGGCCAAGCCTAGCCACAGCAGGGCTGAATAAATATGAAAATAACCCACTCATGTTAACAGAAACATTCGCCACGCATACACACACATACACACACACACACACACACACACACACAAATGCCCTCCTGTGGTTTATAACACACCATGTCTAATGCTGGGGATATATGATGATGGGCTGTTCATGTTGCCATGGTAAAAAAAATGTCTTGGCTGCGGAGAGAATTTATTCAAAAGCAGTTACATGCCATAAAAAAGACAGGAGAGAAGAAATATTCGACTTGAACTTTACATCCTCTTACATTATTTATCAAAAAGTAAGTCACAAACTTTGCCCACAAATGTCTTTGCTCATACTGTTCTTACTTAACTTTGACATCACTTATTGTAATGTATAAAACAAGACTGTGTATGTGCTGATTAATGGCAATATTTCAGCTATTTAACCAGAAATAATAACTGCCATTGTAATTCAGTAATGTTTCTATTTGCGTTTAGAGTTGTTGTAGCTTCTGAAATGAATAGACATTTTAATGAACAAGAGCATATGTATGCATACAGAGACAATTCCCCATGAAACTTATAAAATAACAGTGGAAATGTTTCATTACCTAAGAGAGAATTAAAATCAAAGAAAACAATGATTTTTTTTCTTATGATGGGTCTGATTTCAGCAGCGAATTGTATCAGTTTCTCTCAAGAATGCCTTGGTGTATCTTTCCAAACAAATATTTAATAACGCAAAGGTCAAGGAGGAGCCCCTGTCTGTCTGGCAGAAGTCCCTGCCCTGCAATCAGTTGGATGATGGCATAGCCTTTGGTTAAAGCCTTCTTGCTGGGAAAAGGTTAAACACTCTCTAAAGGCTCAGGCTTGAGCAACATCACGCACACATAGACACACACACACCCCATGAATATCATTAGGAGAGATGCAGAGGTGTACCTTAGAAAATCAACACCTTGTGTGACCCTCAGAGAAACATGGAAGGAAAATAGTCATTTAGGCTTGACCTTAGAAAATCACATAGGATATTTATGCACTTGGCTTCTGAGATTCAAAACCATTTCCAAAGCGCCATTAAATAGGAAATGGGAATTGAAATGTGACATCACTTAAGGTGGTTAAGGTCAGTGGGATTTTCATAACATTCAGTGTTATAACCTTTAAAATAGCTTATCTTTCAACAGTAAGCTTTGGAATCCATGAAACATCATGATGTGTTCAGACACTGCCAATACTGTGCAGTAAAATCACACACATCCATAGGGATACACACATGTAGGCACACGCATACACAGCCACTTAAAAACATTAGATGCAGCCTCCTCCCGTCCCAGTGACAAATTATCAACAAATCAGAATGGACCTTTGGTGCAGGTTAAATCTGGTGCAGTGCAAGGGGATAAAGTGAGGAAAGAGCTACAGGTCTCTATTTGATTCATTTCACTCAAGTGCGGCACAAGGCTAATCAGCTAAAAAAGCATAGTCATCAAAGTCTGCATACAGTAATATAAATAAAATAAAGCATCATAATACAAATGACACTGCATCTGTATTCACATTCTCACCTAACAGGTAAGAGTGCAAACAACTATTCAACAAGAGCATTGTATTGCTCCAGGTCCTGCAGAGAGATATTTTTTGTTGCAATGGATCACAGGTCCTTACACACTAATCAATACCCTTAAACAATCACAAACAATTCAGACCCTTTAAATCTGGCAGCTGTTTTAGAATGAAATGTCCAGGGGAAAAAAGTGGTGCATTTAGCTGCCAACAATCCCAATAAACACAGCTGAGCTAAACTGTGTGCTGTTAATGATTGTTGACATTTGTTGGGAAAGTATTTCACTGGATGGGACAGGAAGTTGTAAGGTCAGGATTTCAAGGATGCATGTTGGCAGGCAGTAAAATAATGTAAAGCAGGATTACACAGTTAACACTGGCTACTAATCAGTATCTAGAGCATAATTACATCGCATTACAAATTATGCTTGAGTGTGTAATACTGTCAATCTGCCAGGCAAGATTTTCTCACTACACACTCGCAACACATTCAGCAATCCGCACTGTTTACGGCAAAATGACAAAACTAAAATAAATGCTTGCTTGGAGTGTTTTTTCGTTATTGACAGAGAAATATATTCAGTCACTTCTCATTCAAATTTGACCACATATTTTCTATAAATTGAACAAGGAAGAAGCATAGTAATAAAACAATAAGGTAATGGCAACTAGTATCTAATTTAAACCATCTGAAAAAGAAAAGCTGCGGCAATAATGCAGGTCAGATGAAGGTGAATCAGGTAGAAGTTATATGGTAAATACTGTGCATCTACTCAAACTCAACTCAATAGTGTGTTTCTCTCCACTCACCGTGACACTAAACTGGGACACTGAGATGTTGTTTGGGTGGACACTGAGACGCACACACTGCTTGATGTCCGATGCAAAGCGCCGCGGCTCTGATGAGCGCTCACATTTCTCCTTTCTGGCGCACCTGGAAAAAACACAAGAGAGGGGGTTTTATTCGCGGATTACAAATTCATGTACACGCCCGCGTGCACATACATTCACGTGGTAACCTGACCAGGGTTTACCCCTTTCCACCTGCTGGCACCCGGGAAAAAGAGAATGTCCTGTTGCTCCCTGACAGACGGAGTTAGACACATTTATCATATTTCCTCTCCGGCAACACACCAGCGGCAGTGTCCAGTGAATTGAAACCTGGTCTCCAGGGGGTGGGAGCAGCTGCATTTAAAACAATGGTTGCTCTATATGTGGAAGTGGAACCGGTCCGTTGGGACAGAGGTAGACCTCTTCTTTGTAAAGCTGTCTTAAAGACTGGCATTCATGGGCAATGCCAAATGCAGGTGGAGATGTGGATGTTGGCGGAGCGCAGGAATGAATTCTTTCGCTCTTTATACCAAACCACGTCTAATCCAGTCCCGTGCAGTGGTTTGTGGGGTTGGAGCCTTTGTGTTGTAAGAGGAAGTTACTGGCTCCTGTTCCAAACACTATCCCTTGATATACAGCAGGGTTATCCCCATAGTCTGAATATCTCAATGGGCTTATAAGAGAACAGGGTATGTAAGCTGCAATTCATTCCCGCCAAAGTCTTGCAGTGGAAAGTTTATAGGTCGTATATTACAGCAAAAGTAGCTGCCATAACACTGACGAAACTCTGTGTTGTTGATAAATACATGTCCTGTGAAAAATTTAGTGAGAAATGCAGCAGCGTAAACTGCGATATAACCTCAACCTTCTATTCTTCTCGAAACACCCACACCCTCTTCTTCTCATCTAATCCCCTCATAAACTTTTTCAAGTTTAATCCCCTATTGATTTAGACAAAAACTTGCAGTGCAATTAAAAGCCTGGCAAATCCAGAGAGTGCCCTCAAACTCCTTTAGAGAAATAAAAGAATGAAAAGAAAGGAAGAGGTCGTAATGAACAAATGAAAGAAAGACTTTCGAGGCGTTTGACGTCTGAGATACAGTAATACCTTATGCAGCAAGGAGCTTTTTATCCTGAATTGGAAAGACTGAGGGAGGGTGGGTTTTGACCTGACATGAGTATTGTAAAGTTAAGCGGCCTAACATGCTGCAAAGAAGACAGACATAAAGAAAAAAGAAAAGAAATAATCTGTTTTAGAGAGGGAGAGAACAGGAGGAGAGGTAAAGAGTGTGAGAGAGAGAGTGGAAAGGAAAGCAAAAGAGAAGCAAGATTTAAAGGAAGCGAACCATTGTTGGCTTTCTGTGAAGCTTTCCCTGCTAAGCCGGTTTGAGTAGGGCTTTAATCGCTTTGGGTTCCTTTGTGCTTCTCTATCACTCCTGTCTGTTCCTCCTTTTCTAGCCCTGATTTAATAAGACCGCAACATAGAAGTACCCTCAGGCAAACAACCCACAGAAAACCCACAATTGCACACTTTCACCTACAAATATACATATAATAAACATACACACTCGGTTTGCTTCCCTGCATGCCCACAGGTCTGTTGTTGATATCTAGGGAAAAAAAACACTGTAAAAAGATGCTCAGCAGGACATTTTGTTTAAGCGCTTCGCTTTTGTGTGTGAGTGTTTCTATAATAATGTTTCTCCACGTGTTTGTTCCTTGACAGTGTCACTGTACATTGTGTTTTGGAAGAAACACCTCAAATTTCATGCCAAAAAGATGAGCACTGTGGCATTATTAGCATTTCCTGGCACAGTTTGTGTAAGTGAATCATCATTATGAGTGACTGAATCATTACAAGCAAATAACAAATGGGTGGTTATCGCACCATGTCAATTTATAAATCTCTATCTCACTCTCACTCTAACTCTCTCACACACACACACACACACACACACACACACACACACACACACACACACACACACACACACACACACACACACACACACACACACACACACACAAAAAATATACATCTAAACACTGTTCTATTCAATATCTTTAGACAGCTACATTACATTTTATTGATTCCTGAGGGATGTTGAGAGCAATATAATGGGACATATTAATAGAGAAAATACAAGAGACAAAATAACAGACACTGATAACAAATAATGAATATTTAATGCATAACAAATGAGTGAGGCATGCAGTTGCCCCTAGATTAGCTTTACTCAAATGCCGTCATATACAGTAAGACCATAGGGAGATGTATTTCAAGCAGAAGCCCTCAGTCGTGAATACCATCATTTCTCAATATTGTCATCTTCGTTGACAATGTGTTAATAACTGGTAATTTTCCAGGTTCTGGTTTTCTTACACAAGCAGCACCTTCAACTTAGCCACCACTGCTCATGTTTGACATAAGGTGACATGAACCAGCCCTCTGACTATTTTTAACAGCAATAACACTGCTGAAAGAAAATGTCAAATTTAAACATAGGGAATCTATTATTTTATCCACACATTTCCATGTGCGAATGCAGTAAACAAAAATACATCATAAATGTGACTTTGATGTTTCACTTTTCTACGATTATCATATTTCTATTTATGAGGGTTCATAAATGTTGTTATGCCCCTATATGGCCCAGGTTTATGACATCATCTCTGTGAGACGCTAGATGCTGTAAATAACAAATGAGAGGAGTGAGGACTGGAAAGATGATGATGCAGGGAAACAGTGCAACAGAGAGAATCAGAGTGAACACGGCATGCTGCAAAGACTTGTTAGTGTCCATCTCACAGCAAATAACATTTTTAGCTTGGGTTTTTATGTATGCGAGTTACAATATACAATGTTTATGAGCAATAATTACTTCTGCGAAGATTTGCAGCCCACAGGTTTTATCGTCTGCAGACTTTTATAATGTATCTTAATACAGTTACAAGCCAACAAGACATAATGAGGCAGCGTGAGTTGATGAGAGCAAAAACTGAACCTGGCATAACTGGATCGGGCCTGTTAATACATTATTATTAGAGAGTGTATATCAGTCTGCTCTAAAAAAGAGGACAGGGGCCAATTTGTTTCGCTTGTTATGCAAATGTGAAGTAAATATGGACATCTTGAAAAACAAACACCCCAAAGCAAAAGGACATGAGTCTCAGGGAAGCGCAGTGTGGCAGTACTTTCCTCCATGTCCAGTCCATGTTTGACCTTCTCCCAGATTCTACAAGCAAAACAAATGAATTTATATTTGAAAACTAAAATGGGATCTTCTTCTTCATCTTCATTTACCTGTTAATCCTTGAGATTATCATATTAAAAATACCACATTCAATGTTGCTAGTGCTTTGTACCAATAGCCAACTGGATGTATTTACTTTCTTATATTTGCTCATGTATATGACTGTATATATATATGTTGTATGACTTCCTGTAGACTTTCTTTTCAACCTACCCCCTTTAGTGAATCAAATCTGATTATCAACAGCGATTGCCTTTTATCCCATCATTATATTTGCAATGCCAACTATACTGCATTTTTTTTTACTTTCCTGCACAAACTTCACCAACTCTGAAATGTCATATTGGACATTAATAGAGGTGGCAGTGCGAGCCAGTGAACTGTATTGCAAGTATCTGGACAGCCTCTGTTTGTCTATGGAGATGTCATATAGCCCTGCAGGGACTGTAAGTTTCATCTCGTTCTCAGGGTCACAGACTTGCTGCGCAGGATGAAATAGCCAACAGGTCGACTGATTAGCTTTCAAAACCCAGACATGGACGACCATGCAGGGAGGCTTTTTTTCTTCTTTTCATCTCTCTGCCTCTCTAAGGGATGGGCAACAGCACCACGTCTCAATTCAATGAGACTACTGCAATGGCGCAGTGAAGAGTGCCATCACAGAGGGCTGTACCAACAATACACAGAGTATGCCAGAGAAAAAAATGACCCCAGGTTAACTTTTTCTGCAGCTCAATGTCATCCGCCAACTGTTTACCTCAAAAGCAAACATCAAGGCAGGAGAAACTTTTGTGTGGTGTTTTGGCTTTTGGTAAGTGTTCATACTAAACTGTCTGGTTTTTGGTACCCACACACTGGAGAAAAATGTCCATACCAATGCACACAACTTCCTTACTTTCATTGTGGGGAAAGCAGCTCTAATGTGATTACTTTTCAGTCTTTCCTGTTATACCCTAATGTTCATTCTGCTGCATATACTGGCAGAAAACCCAAGTGAGTTGCTCATGGGTGACATCAACTAACAGATGTGACTTTTTCTTTAAGAACTAGTCTTGCATCCTGACTGAATGTCTCACCAATGTGTAGGACATGCACACTTATTGATTTGGATTAAGTTAAGTGTGCACACCCACCACTAAAGGGGAATTTATGTAGCTGCTCTGGCTGATTTGGGGCTTTACTGAAAGGATATTGAAGATAATGCCGTACATGGTTTAGCTGATGTAAGAGGTGGGCTTTATCAGAGCAAAGCACTGGATAATTGTTTTCAATTACTATCCAGACAGACCTTGAAAGAAAAAAAGATTGCATCGTTTGTAACAATATGAAGCATTCCCACCCTTTGTAAATATAGAAGAATAGACCATTTAGAGAACCCCAGAAATCAAAGCAATTTAGATTTCAAATAACAGTCATAAGAAGCCTGACTGGGGCTATCTTTTTTGTGGAGAATTTGACATCCAACATGTCTTCATTTGGTTAGTAAATACTGTTGTTGTGCAGAGCTGTTTGACTGACTGGCAATGACACATTATGAGAGAGTGAGCTGAAAGGGTTAGATTGGCCCTGAAAGGAAACTAATCTGCACTCTTGTTTCTCCCAGCCTTTGATAAGGTGATACAATTAGAGTGAGACTGAGGAGAGGGCAGAGATGGATTTTTTGCCTCTGCAATTGTTGCTGATGAGGCTGTCAGCCATTCAAAGCTGGATGGTCTCGTAAATAATATATTTCATCACAATATTTTTCATTTAGCCCTTTTGACAATTCAATTGGCTATAATGTTTAAAATACAAGATTATTCTCTGTTATTCTCTGTAGTATATGTACACAAAAATATCCATATTTAGC